TGTTTGTCAAAGAAGAAGCTTTGTAGAGTGGGCGGGGTATAAATAAATTATTATTATTATTATTATTATTATTATTATTATTATTATTATATTGTCAACCTTATTTTGTTCATAAAAGCATGAGTTTTTTTAAAGTGGTACGAGCTACTTTGGCTTGTCCCATTATAAAGGTTGAATGCTACAGACTGAAGCAATTTGCTGACATAGTACCTGTTTCCTAGAAACCAGCATCTGCAAGGATCTAAATGAGGAGGGGGCTTTGCCAAAATGAAGTGAATTGATGTTGATACATAACCTACACAAATGCATAGTTAAAAGTTAAGATTTAATAAGGGCTGTGATATAAGAAAAGGCTGTAGTGAGAGTGCCTTGCAAGCAATAGATCCCAGATTCGATCCCTGGCAAATCCAGCTTGACACCATGGAGAGCTGTTTTCCAGTTGGTGTAGAGTTTACACTGTAGACAGTAAAAAGCTAGATGGACCAAATTTCAGATGTAGTAGAAGGGCAGCTTTACTAGGTCGGTCCCTCTCTTTAAAGTAACAGCCTTGCCAACAAAAAATATTGCAAACCTGGGGGGGGGGAGGCCATCCTTCTGTGAGTCATATAGGTTCTAAATGTCATACATACTGTAAGGACCTCATTAAAACGCTTAATGAATAGTGATACAGATTGATGACCATTTACACCTAGGGGAAGAATAAATGGTTAATGGGCAATAATTCTGAACTGGTACTAGCTCCCTTCTGTTCTTAGTGTGTTATACTTAATTTTTGCAATTGTACACTGGTTACATGCACCAGAGTCTTGCTGATTTGTCGTACTGCTTGAATCTAAACACAGCACTTGGGAAATAAGCTGTACTGTTTGTACTTAGAATTGGGACGCTAAGCGTGCGTAAAATTTGGCACAGGTTAGTAGGCGGCCAGTATCTCATGACATCTGTCATGCTATTTAGGAAATGCTTCTTTAACAGTTTCCAGGTACAGTGGATGCTTGGGTTGCGAACATGATCCGTGCAGGATGCACGTTCGCAACCCGCAGCGGCGCGTCTGCGCACGCGCGGGTTGCGATTCGGCACTTTTGTGCATGCGCAAAGCGCGATTTAGCATTTCTGCGCATGCGCGGCTGCCGAAACCCGGAAGTAACCCATTCTGGTACTTCCAAGATTCGGTGGTCCGTAACCCGAAAAAACGCAGCCTGAAGCGGCTGTAACCTGAGGTATGGCTGTATAGGGAAGTTGGCCTTTCAGGTGTTGGTGATTTGCTTTATTGTATTGTCTGAAACAGAACAGCTATGCAGTGCAAAGTGACTTTGGCCACATTCGCACAATACATTCAAAGCACTATGATGCCACTTTAAACAGTCATGGCTTCTGGGAGCTGTAGTTTATTAAGGGTGCTGAGAGTTGTTAGGAGAACTCTAATTCCCCACCCCGCCCCAGCTACAGTTTCCAGAGTAGTTTAACAGTCAATCCCTCATATTAAGGAACTCTGGAAATCATAGCTCTGGGAGGGGAATAAAATCTCCTAACAACTCTCAGCACCCTTAAACTACAGCTCCCAGAACTCTTTGGGGGAAGCCATGCCTGTTTAAGGTGGTACCATAGTCCTTTATGGTGTGAATGTGGCCTACTGTTTATCAGTTCATGTGAGAACTGGAAGGAGGGAATAAAAGGCAGGACCTTGAGAAAAGCCAATGGAAAAGAAGTATAAATGGAAACTGTTGAGAGGAATCTTTGAGCCTGGCACAGTAGTGTGCTGTTCCCCTTGTGAGTGTCTGTGCACTTAACATTTTGGATGATTTCCCCAGTACTGATGGAGCTCTTCTGTTTGCATTGTTGAGGTAACCAAGGTTTTAGTTTAGGAAAAACTGAGCCAGAGGGATGCCTCGGCATTTGTTTTGTGAGAAGGGACGTAGGAGACAGATTGCTCTGAAACAGACTGGATATTGCAGGGAAGGAAGATTGGTATTCGGTAATATTGTTTGGCTGACTGAAGAAAGAAGGTCAATGCTTGTGGAATCCCCTCCAAGAACTTCAGAGCACAGATGGAGAACTGCATATTTGCACATTCCCCCCAGACTCTCATTTGAGCTGACTAGGAGTGCAGGGCTCCCAAGAAATGAGATTACATTCTTAAAAATCTCTCATTAACATAATTAGCAAGTGTCACCAACCCTGGTAGATCTGACAGGAAGGCTCAGTGGGAGTTCAAGGGAAGACAAAGAAAAGGAATATTGATGATGTGGCAAAGCTGTGTCTACTTCAGCAGGAAGAGGAAGGAGTCCTGATATCCTAGACTAAAAAGATAAGAGACATCCCAACTCTTGTTTTGCATGGCGAGTTCCCGCCCCCCACCAGGATAAATAAAGACACGAGACACCATAGTTTAAGGTTAAATGGGCGAATTAGGCCACAACTTTATTGAATTCAGGAATGAGAGGCATTGGCTTAGGCATTGGTCCTAACGACTATCCGGCTCCAGCCCATTTGCTGGAGACACGGGGAAGGGTTAACACTATATCGGGGGAGTCTCCTGCCGAGGCACGTTGACTAGGAACTCCCCCGGGTCACCGCTCTGGGGTGTGCCTTTGGCCCACACCTCCATAGGCTTCGGACAGGGCCACGCCCCCTGGAGTCCTTTAACGGACCACCCTTCGCTCACTGGGGGGAGGTGATGGCGTTCCTCCCCCCCACACACACGTGGGGGCTAGCCAGCGAAAAGAGGGCGAGCCCCCTCTGTGTCGGCCCTAAATAGGGCAGGTCACGCACCCCCCCCCCAGCCAGCCGATTGGCTGGCTGGGGGGGCAGACACGGCCGGGATTCCCCTGCTCTCGCGGGGGCTGAAACCAGCCCCCGCTCATGTGGGGGGTGGGCGTGAAGCCCGCAACCCCACCTCCTGGGCAGGCCGGAAGTGGCTTTCTACTCCATGCCTATGAGCGTTTGGTTTTGATCAGATCTGTAAAGCAGGGAGAACGGGATGCACCTAAAATCAGAATAGAGGCTGCTGTGTGCACCCCCTTTATTTTTCTACACAAAGATGCTTCTATGTGTGAAAATTATTAGTGCTTCTTAATGTGTGAAGGTCCCACATACTTGTATAGGGAAAGTATAATTGGCTGCAGTTTCCCAGCATGTGTACATCACATGTAAACATTGTGAAACCTCAAGTGTTGAGGCTGCTGAAGAGGCCAGAGCCCATGTTGGCTGAGAGTCCTGGAAGACCTGCTCTCTGCCTTGCAGGCCTTTTCCCACCTGGCCTGGGAGGTCGGGGCCCGGACTGACTCCAACTGCAAAAGCCGAAGCTGCTGAACAGACACTTGGGCTGGGGTGTTATTTGGCAGTTTAGGGGGGTTGTTACGGTTGAGTTTTGTATCTTTATTTTAGATCTTTCCATTTATGTGGAAATTGTGCAGTGTGGTTGTGTCTTTTTTAATGTTTTATTTATTGTTGGGTTGCTTTTGTTGCAGTTATGTATTTTTTCATGTTGCAAGCCATCTTGAGCATGGTTTGATCTGAGGAAAAGTAGCATAAAAATAAAATTATATATGTATGTAAACACACTTGAGCCAATTGGCCATTACTTCTCGGCCTAACATGCTTCATAGGATTATTGTGATGGTAACACCCATGGAAGAAGCTGTGGAGGGTGCTTTCTTGCACAGGAAAGCTATAAACTGTGGAAACAGCCTGAATGCTGACCCTGAAAAGCCTTCTCTGTGCCAGGGAAAAATAAACTCAAAGCTGCAGGTTCCTAGGAGTCTCTCTGGTCCAGACGCTCTCTCTGTGAGAGGGTCACTCTTGTTAACAAAAGGGGAATGAATTATGCAGCAATTGGCAGTGCCAGATGGCGACTTCCCTGCTGTTTACATAAAGAGGGGAGGAGAGAGAAGGCAGGCACAGGCAGAAAGGAGCTGCACACTCAGACAGAGGGCAGATTTCACTATGACTCTGCTGCCATTTTGAAAGACAAAAGAGACTTATTTCCACTGCCCATTTGAAGGGGGGAGTTGGCATCCCTCTGTCTTTGGAGAGAATGGAGGAGTGCGCCTTTGGGGGTGAAGTCAAACTGTTGGAAGCGCCTGCTGTGGCTTATAGAGACCGATAAGGGAGAGACATGTTTTGTTGCAGGTGGGGCAGATGAAGGTGCCTGGTTGTGCTGCTGCAGGTGCACCGTGGCGTATCTTCTCTCTGTGTTCCTCCCATCAGTCATTCCTCCTCTGGTCACTGCTATGGATACACAACCTGACTGTCTGTCGAAAGAGGGAGACTGTGGCCACACCTTCACACCATACAGTTAAAGCACTATGATACCACTTTAAACATGGCTTTCCTCAAAGAATCCTGGGATCTGTAATTTGTTAAGGGGGCTAAGAGTTGTTAGGAGATCCTTGTTCCCCGCTCAGAGCTATAGTTCTCAGAGTAGCTGAACATTAATTTCCAAATTAGGGTGCTTCACACATGCTTATTGTTTTATTTCATTTAGTTATATATTTTTATTTTTTAAAAATATACCGGCTTGTTTTTTTAACTTTTGAGAGTTATTTGTATTTTTAATAATTATTTTATATTGTTTCATGTAAATCAGAAGTTTTTGTTGATTAAAGAGTATGTAAATTGTGTGCATGCATGCCACTTTTAAAAAGCTTATCACATGCAGCATGCAACGAGTTTAGTGAAATGAATTTGCTGTGTTTGTTCTACCTCACTGCCAACCATGTCCTGTTTAGGTTGATCATTAGAAACAAAGGAAGTTGGCAGGTGAAAACAAATGCTTACAGGCCTGAGCAATTCAGTGGCTGCCAATTCAGCTGGATGTCTGAAGATCTAAGCAGGACACTCCTGCCTCTCAAAACAGATGTTTGTTTTGCAAGGGTTGGTGGGGTGTGGCAAGACACGTTTCACTGGATTATTACAAAGAATGATGTAAAGAATACCCGAGGGCCTGTACAGCTCAAGTCACTCAGTTTCCAAACTTATTGTTTGTTTTTGTTTTGTAGCGGAGCTCAGACGGACTCCACCGCAGTGGTGATGATGGCTGATCCTGGTGTCTGGAACGGAGTCTAAATCTGGGAATGACTCTTCTTGGGTACGAATAAAAAAGAAACCACAAGTGTAAAGAGGATAGAGGATAGGCTCCTAAGTCCTTGTCCTAGAGCATGAGGCAGAGCAGCAATGGGTGGTGTTGCACTCAGATCCTGCTTGTGAGCTTCCCACAGGCATCGAGTTGCCATGGAGGACAGGAGGCAGGACTAGGTGGGCCTTTGGCCTGATCCAGCAAGGAGGGCTCTTCTTAAGTGAGTTCACTGCGACTGGTGCTTGCCTCCTTCCCGGCATTGGGACCATTTAAGAGCTGGTAGAAAACAAATACAAGAATTGCTTTGCTGGTTCAAGCTGAGGTCTATGTAATCCAGCAGCCTATTGTTCATTGTTCTTGGTGATTTCAACATGGGCTGTATCCATGTCTTAACAGTTGAACTCCAAATTCCATTCTCCCTGACCGTTGGCTGGGCTGGCTGGAGCTGATGGGAGTTAGAGTACATCAAAGTCCAGAGGGTCATAGGTTAGCTACCCCTGTTTTAACAGATGGGAGACAAGACAAAGACCAAGCAGTTAGTGCAATTTCACCCATATTTCCAAATTACACCAACACTTTGCTTCTCCATGGTCTTTCTGCTGTGCTTCACTAAACTATGGTTTGGCTTATCTTGTCATCCAAACCTGAGCTTGTTCTTTAGCTCTTCTGGACAAACCAGAAGCTATAGGACTAAACTATGGGACGAACCTTGCTTACAGCTTTTAGTTAGTCTGGAAATAGCTAAATCACAAGCCCAGATTCAGATGACACACTGTGCCAAATTGTGGCTTAGCACAGTGCAGCAGTGGACTGACAACAGTGCAGAGTAGCTGCACTCTCCTCTACCAGGGACTGCACAGTTGCACATGTGTGCTAAACTATGGTTTGGTATAGCATGGTGTGCAAACCAAGCCAGTATCTCTTTGGTTAGACGTTTCCTGGCGAATTGCTGGATCATATTGCTTATTAGTTCAAGGATTGTATTGCATTTGGGTTTTTAAAATGATGTTATTTGCATATGTTATCTGTATTTGTGTATTGAGTTTGCTGCATATCTTAAAGTCCATGATCTTTTACTGTTTTTAAAGTCTTTGGCTCCTTGTTGTAAACCTCTTCAAGATATTTTATATATTGTAAGCAGCATGTAAGCTTACTAAATCAATAGAGCTTTTAAAGTCTCCTTCAACCCTGCCCCTCTTAACTTTACCCAGGTATTTTGCAGAGTAAAGCTCTCTAGGAGACCACCAGCTTCATAGATGGACAGGATGTACAGAACTGATCCTCTGGCAGGAAACTGGAGCTCCATCTCCCTAGATGACTCCATATTCCTGGATGCCCAAAGCAACAGCACAGAGCAGTGCTTCAACGCCCATTCCCGCAGCTCTGTCCTGCAAGGGCTGCCGTTTGGCGGTGTACCCACGGTGCTTGCCCTCAACTTCATCATCTGGTTGGTGAGTGAAGACGGGAGGTCCTTAATATCTCATTATTAACCATGCGTTATTCGGGATCCACATTGCTTCACATTCAGCTGGGAATGGGTTGGCTTCATCATTATTAGATGAGCTTTTTGCTCCTGTTTCAACTCTTCCCAGTATCTATACGTACATACTATCTGTATATACTATCCACAGTGGCTATAATTTGCCTTGGGGTACGCAGGTGGCACTGTGGTCTAAACCACTGAGCCTCTTGGGCTTGCCGATCAGAAGGTCAGCGGTTCGCATCCCCGCAACAGGGTGAGCTCCCGTTGCTCTGTCCCAGCTCCTGCAACCTAGCATTTTGAAAGCACACCAGTGCAAGTAGATAAATGGGTACTGCTGCGGCAGGAAGGTAAACGGTGTTTCCATGTGCTCTGGTTTCCATCATGGTGTTCCATCGTGCCAGAAGCAGTTTAGTCATGCCAGCCACATGACCCGGAAAGCTGGTATGGACAAACACCAGTTCCTTCCGCCTGATAGTGAGATGAGCGCCACAACCCCATAGTAGCCTTTGACTGGACTTAACCGTCCAGGGGTCGTTTACCTCTTTACCTTTTAATAATTTGCCTCCATTGTCAGAGTCAATATGCCTCTGACTACCAGTTTCTGGAAACAGTAGCTGTTGCTCTCAGGTTCTGCTCCCTGGTTTCCCTCAGGCATCTGGTGGGCCACTGTGAGAACAGGATGCTGGACTTGATGGGCTCTTGGCCTGATCCAGCAAGCTCTTCTTTTGTTCTTGGTTCCAAAAATACAAATCACTGTCTTGTTTCCAAAAAGGGAAGCGGTTAGAAGAGAACACACTAAAAATGTTCCACACTGATATTAGCTTACCTTAAAAAGTCATATGCAGATATTTCTCCATCCTGAGTTTGCCATGTTATCAGTGCTGCTATATGTAGAATAAGCTATGGTTTTCCCAGTAGTGATGTATGGAAGTGAGAGCTGGACCATAAAGAAGGCTGATCGCCGAAGAATTGATGCTTTTGAATTATGGTGCTGGAGGAGACTCTTGAGAGTCCCATGGACTGCAAGAAGATCAAACCAATCCATTCAATCAGCCCTGAGTGCTCACTGGAAGGACAGATTGTGAAGCTGAGGCTCCAATACTTTGGCCACCTCATGAGAAGAGAAGACTCCTTGGAAAAGATCCTGATGTTGGGAAAGATGGAGGGCACAAGGAGAAGGGGACGACAGAGGATGAGATGGTTGGATAGTGTCTTCAAAGCTACAAACATGAGTCTGACCAAACTGCAGGAAGCAGTGGAAGACAGAAGTGCCTGGCGTGTTCTGGTCCATGGAGTCACGAAGAGTCGGACACGACTAAACGACTAAACAACAACAACATATGTAGAATAACACTTGATGACACTGCTGTACACAGTTCATGTTACTCTGCTTCTAAAGAAGGTTGCTTCTTCCTGATAAAGCCTAGGGTGGAGCTTCATGTTACAACATAAAACAGAACCCTCCGCCCCGAGTTAGCCTTATACCACTAACGTTGTGTGGTGGTGGGAGACTAGCTGGGAAAACTGCAAGTTGGGTAGGAAATGTTTAGTCCCTCCTCCATATTTTTCGCCTTTTCCAAGTCCAGATGTCAACTTAAAAGGGAAATTTGTCTTGAGTGTTTGTGTGCTTTGCAAGGGAAGACCAGCAGGCATGATAAAGGTTAAACACTCCCTCTTCCTTCCTGGCCATTCATTCTCCCATCTCACTTTCACAGTATCTCAGCAAATGTAGGTTTGGGCATGAATTTTTGTTTAGCTAACATCTTGTGCTGCCCTTTAACAAAATACCAAAATGTGTGAAAGCAGAAGTGTTCAGCAAGACAAATGGTGGTGGTGGTGGGGGACCACCCCCTCCCACCACAGAAACATGGACCTAATATGTGTGGAATATAGCACTTATGGAACACTTAACTCGCCATTGGAGGTGATAAGAGGAATCACAAAGAAAGATGGGTTTGACTCTGTAGGGTCTCGATTTATATCATTTATTAAAAATAGTACAGTAACCGCCCCTCAGTCTCAGTCGTAGCAGCGACTATTGAGAAATTATCTTAACACTTAAGACTGAAGTATACCCTGTGGATGTGAGCTGATTTGTAATGGAAAAGATTTTCCAAGTTTGTTTTGATGCCATGTGGATGACTGCATACAAGGTTTATTATTATTATTATTATTATTATTATTATTAATTGAATTTCTTGGTTGCTTTATCTTGCGACAACCCAAAGCGACTTACAACCAAACAAACAAAAAAACTGCACATAGATACATTAAAAACAAGAGGAAAAAGAAATATCTTTTTCCTCTTGTTTTTTAACATCTCACCCTTTTCTAAAAGGCCACATATACAGTGGTACCTTGGGTTAAGAACTTAATTCTTTCTGGAGGTCTGTTCTTAACCTGAAACTGTTCTTAACCTGAAGCACCACTTTAGCTAATGGGGCCTGCTGCACCGCTGCTGCACGATTTCTGTTCTCACCCTGAAGCAAAGTTCTTAACCCAAGGTAATATTTCTGGGTTAGCAGAGTCTGTAACCTGAAGCGTATGTATCCTGAGGCATATGTAACCTGAGGTACCACTGTAGTTAAACACCAAAGGCCTGGTTTTGCCTGGTGCCTAAAGATACGTAATGAAGGTACCAGGTGAGCCACCAAGACCTGTTCTTGTGTTGCCACATTCTGGACCTTTCATAGAGCAGGCACACGAAGAAGGGCCTCAGATGATGGTTGCTGGGTCTGGGTTGGTTCATATGAGGAGAGGCTGTCCCTGAAGTATTGTAATCCTGAACCATTTAAGGCTTTATAGGTTAAAAAAGAAAACCAGGCTTCTGTGATGATGTGAGGCCATAGATAAAGGGGAAGGACACTTCTTAAGGGTGGGCTCCTCTCAGTCCCATGAAGAGGGTCCCCTAAGCTGTTGCTTTTCTGTCTCCTCCTCCAGTTCCTCCTCCTGGTCTTCTCCTGCCTTCGGAAAGCAGCTTGGGACTATGGGCGCCTGGCCTTGCTTATGGACAATGACAGGTAAGAATGCAGCTTTCCTAAAAGGATGGAGAAGGTGAGGGCCTGAGAGAATAATAGGAGGGCAGTTTTCTGTAACCCAAAATAAGAGCCCCATGTAATGCTGACTGGTGCTGCTGGGCTGGCAACAAGGGCAGCGGCCAGCAGCAGCCCCAAGATGGGATCCCAGTGGGCAAAGATGTCCTAGAATCCGCATGGCTGAGCGAGTGTAAGAATGATTGAAGGGGTCCCTCCAGTGCCTGCTGTACAACATGCATGGAACCCAGATCAAGTCAGCTTCCTTACCAAGGAAACAAAGTTTTCTAGTGCACATGAGCATGTGTTCACTGCTCTGATGACAGAAACCTCAGAATGCAGCACAGCAGGAGGAATTCAGCAGCACACTATTTTGATATTTTGAAATGTTTGTCTGGCAAACATTTCTGCTTGCCGGACAGAATGGTCTCCCCTTCCCTCTCCCCGCTCACTGTTTGGGGGGAGTGTGGTTCTGCCAACCCTCCAGGGTGGATTTGGGGGAGGTGTGGGGAGAGGAGAGGGGAGAAAGCCCTGTTGCACTAGCAGAAACCCTTGTGCTGGCTTCTACTTGTGCACCAGGTTTGTTGAATCCAGCCAATTGAGATAGATAGATAGATGATAGATGATAGATAGATAGATAGATAGATAGATAGATAGAGATAGAGTATTTTTCGCTCCATAAGACGCACCCGACCATAAGACACACCTAGTTTTTAGAGGGGGGATGCAAGAAAAAAATATTCTTTGAAGGGAGCGCTGAGCAGAGCCTGTATGCATCCCAGGCTCTGCTCAGCGCTCCCTTTCACGAGCTGCGAGGAGTGTGTGTGTGCGGCGCTTGCAGGCTTTCCCCCGATGGGCTGCCCTTCTCCCTCCTCTGGGAAAAGCCCCCAAGAGCCGCACACACGCTCGGCTCGGCTCTTGGGGACTTTTCTGAGAGGTGGGGGAAGGGACAGAGGGGCTAAGCCAGAAGCTAGAACAGCAAGAGGGAGCGCTGCACAGCGATCCCTCTCACTGTTCTGGCTTCTGGTATAGCCACATAGCCTGCATTCGCTCCATAAGATGCACACACATTTCCCCTTACTTTTTAGGAGGGAAAAAGTACGTCTTGTAGAGCGAAAAATACGGTAGATAGATATAGTATTTTTGTTATCTGTATTTTCTTGTGTTAAGTGCAGTGCTTTGACATTTTATGTTTGTTGAGCAGAATAAACAAAAGGATGTTCTAGCTACCTCCATTGTGTTTTAGAACTCTTGCCTATCGCCCTTTGATAACGTTGCTTGAAGCAGTTTAGAAGAACTGTGTGAATCCGAAGTAGTAGCGGTTGTTGTTGTTTATTATTATTGGATCTAATTATTGTTATGATTTCTCTCCTACCACCCCTCCCCCCTTTTTTTTAAATCAGCCGTTTTCCTCCAAGCACATGGAACTCCTATGAGTAATGATATGATGGTGACAATGGGACTGAAACATTGGGAAGATAGGAATTCTTGTGAAAGAAAGGAATCCCCACTTCTTTTAAAGGAGAGCTTGGTCCAGCCCCCACAAGGGTCAGACGACTTTCCCAAAATTACCTCACTTTCTCACCTGAATTTCTCACAGTGAAAAGGAACAATGTTGTGTTTCCCTGCCTGTACTTGGGGCTCCCTATCCTTGAGGGAACTGTTTAAAAAATCCATTGGAGGCAGTGGGGATCTTACAAATCACCTGAACCTATGAGTAACCCCATCAACTTCAATGGGATTTAAATTTTATGTTTCAGTGAGCTTTGAGAAGGACTAAGCCTCACTCCAACCTAGTGGTTTTTTTTAAAAAAAAATAGAAATGGACCCACCTAATCTTCACCTTACGTTAGCTTTCCTTTCCTTCACAAGACATTCCCTGTAGGGATTATACTCAAATGGCATGGAATAGCTTCTGGTCACGCTCTTCTAGATAGTTCTCCTGATCCTTACTCTCTGGGATGTTGGCTATCTGGTGATGGTGGGATTGTTTGGTTATGGTTTTGTTCCCAATCAGGAGGTGAAAAAAATTACTTCTGGTCCGTTTACACGTGTGGGGCACGGGAAACAGTCAAAGTCAACATCTGACACTTTCAAATTTGTTTTTTACAATATCACACTAACGTTGTGGTTCCTGATTTTAGTTGATTTCAAGTGCTATCCTCCATTCTAAAATGACACACTTCCATTGTATACAGTGGGCACCCCTTATTTCAGACACCATAGCTCTGAAATAATCATTGTTGAAATTCTGATCCAGGATTCCTGTTCTAATGTCACTTGAGATTATTTCTGCTGCATCTTCATCTAAAGGGTCTGTCACTTTCCACTGGTAGTTTGATTTGGCTCTGGGTGTCATTTATCCCTTCCCTTCCTTATAGTGCTCCTTTCCTAGATAGTAATAGCAAAGAAGCTGAGGTAAGTTTTTGTTCAAATAAGATTTCCCCCCTATTGTTCATGAACTTTGGATCTTCAACCATAGTCCTGGGAAAGAGTGGTTGTTGATATGGATCCCAGCCTACTTGCAAAGTGCAATTGGAAGTGGGTGGGAGTCAAAATTCACAGTCTTAAAGAACCCCCACCATTCTGGTTTTCCAGGAAAATCACTGAGCAGAGCTCAGTGCCATGCTGGTTATATGTGTTCATTTAGAGTGCTAAGTAGGTTGAGCAGCAGCAGCAGGAGGAAGCAAAGTCCTGCTATATCCTCCACAAACTTCTTTTTTCTTTTTTTAAATTATTTTTATTCAATTTCCAATACAAGATTTAAACATACATTTTCAATATTATCACAGATACGTAATTTTGACTTCCTTCAGCTCATCCACAAATCTTCCATTTTCTAATCTTCTATCCGCAATTCTAAATTTAACATTGCCTTTTGTTTTGAATAAACCTATTCCCTTGTTCCCTTTTTTACAGTGTTTCTAATATTATCTCTTCACAAAGCTTCCTGTAAACCCACAAACGTTATTTGCGTATCACAAATGCTTTTCATATAGTCCACAAATTTGCTTCAGTCCTTGGTAAACTTGTGATCTCGTCGGTTTCGGATCCTTCCTGTTAATTTATCTAATTCTGCGTAGTCCATTAATTTCATTCTCCATTCTTCTATCGATGGTAATTCGTCCTGCTTCCATTTTTGGGCCAGTAGTATTCTTGCTGCTGATACTGCATATAAAAATAATTTATGGTCCTTTCTATTTATTTCATTTCCAACCATTCCTAACAAAAAAGCTTCTGGTTTTTTAACAAATGTATATTTCAACATTTTTTAAAAATTTTTAAAATTTTTTAAAATATATCAATTCCCAGAAGACTCTCACCTTTTTACACTCCCACCACATATGATAAAATGTTCCCTCTTTTTCTTTACATTTCCAACACTTATTACATACTTTATATATTTTTGCTAATTTTACTGGAGTAATATACCATCTATAAACCATCTTCATCTTCTAATATAAGGTCCACAAACTTCTGCCCTTGCCCAATTTCCTTTTCACAGGGAATTTTCTTTCCTCATCCCAGTACTGGAAACATTGGTTGTGTGCTAGATTAGTGAGGTCTTATCTGTGATGATGTAACAGATTCAATGATGTCACTTTCCTGGAGCAGAGGCAGGAACTGTGCAGCCATCCATAACCACTATAACCTCTAATAGTGAAAAAGAAATGGAGGAAAATGCTTGGTCTCCCTGTGGTAGCAGAATCTAGGCTGAATTCAGGTGATGGAGAATTGAAGGGCATAGAACATCTACTTTGCACCAAGAGGGTCTCCGATAGCCCTGAGCTTCTAGCTGCTCAAAAAGGGCCTGGTACATTGGCGTGATAAATATTGTCAAATATTTATCAAATATTGTCAAAAGGATCGAGTTGGTGGTCTGACAGCTAAAGAAGTCCATGGCTTTTGCAAACCCCAAACTCATACAAACACATTTTTTCTGTTCCACCTACACAGACCTCTCCCTTGCCCCACACGCTTTGAACTTAGGAGGCTCTTTTGCTAGGAGAAAGCAGGGCTGGGGCAATGCAACACGTTCTAATAGTTTAATTGACTGATTCCATGCAGTCAAGAGTATGTGGCATATGTGGATATGTACAGCCACAATGCATTTCATTTAAGATGTTGCTGCTATTGGCTGCCAGGGAGCCTCCTTCCCCTTCAAGTCAGTACACAACAATACTTGTGAAACTGAAACTGCTTCATTCATTGGAGAAGAGGGGACACTTGATCCCTACTGGCTTTCTGGAGCTTTAACATAATCATGGAGTGCTGTTGGTGCAGCTTAAAAATGCCCACCCCCTTTGTCTTTCTCTCTCACCCTTCCTCTTGCGGTCCTCTCTGCTTTCCTGGGTTGTGGGGTGAAGACACTTAAAAGTTGGTCTGATCAGAATAATGTTTTTCTTTCTCCTCTTTCCTTTTTCTTCTTCCCCAACTCTCATCCATACTGACCTCCTCTCTTCTTCTCCTTTGCTCCCTCTGTGCTTCTCCCAACCACAATCTCTTTCTTTCTGCCTCTCTTGCTGGATACATGAAGCCTCACATCGCTCTTCTATGGGGAGCAAAGTGAAAAAGAGAAATCCCCATCAGAGACCAGCCCACTGGATGCTGACAACAAAGATGTGGTAAGCTTAAGTGGGGAAAGTAGGATGGAGCTGCACTCTGATGAAAGGAGCTTCTGTCACTGTATGTAAATTGGGTCAACCAGACATTCAAGAAAGGGTGGGGGGAGTAGAGATGACTAATGTTTTCAGAGTGAATAGTGCTTTTCTGGAAACCCGCCAATTACGCTATGATATTATTCATCATAAGGCAGACAAATAGGAGGTGATGCTTGGTAGCCTAATGATCTTCATGAATTGCTTTCACTATTTCTAATCCTGCCGTTTTCTGAAAAACTGTTCATCTGATTATATTGTTCTTATCTGGAACGTAACAGTGAAACATTGGCTCCCAGTACGTTTTCGAGCACAATTCAAAGTGCTGCTGCTGACCTTTAAAGCCCTAAACAGCCTTGGCCCTGTATACCTGAAGGAGCATCTCCACCCCCATCGTTCTGCCCGGACACTCAGGTCCAGCTCTGAGGGCCTTCTGGTGATTCCCTCACTGTGAGAAGTGAGGTTACAGGGAACCAGGTAGAGGGTCTTCTCGGTAGTGGCCCCGCCCTGTGGAATGCCCTGCCACCAGATGTCAATGAAATTAACCATCTGACTTTTAGAAGACATCTGAAGGCAGCCCTGTTTAGGGAAGCTTTAATGTTTGATGTTTTATCATGTTTTTAATATTCTGTTGAGAGCTGCCCAGAGTGACTGGGGAAACCCAGCCAGATGGGTGGGGTATAAATAACAAATAATACTAATTATTATTTATTTATTAAGAGCCAAACTGCATCAGACAAATGGTCCATCTCTCCAAGTCTTTGACAGTGACTAGTACTGTACTGGGTTTTTCTGTGAAAATGCACAGGGAAAGCAAAGGGCACTTACTTGTGTGTTCTTTCTCTTAATGTTTATCTAGGATCATGCTCAGTTACATTGATCTGCACCATATAATTCCAACACAGTTGCAAATGCAGACATAGCCCTAATTTTTGGAGATTGGTAGGAACATCAGTAGATCAGCGGTTCTTGCCTAATTGATATCAGTCAACTAGCTCATTCTGTTTCTCCAACTTCCATTCTAGGGATTCTGTTCCTGGCTCCTGTCAGTCTACCAGATGAAGTGAGTACATTCTACTTTTGGGTGATGACTATTGCATGTCTTATTCCAACTTTTTATGTAATTAAATGCTAACACCGTTGCCGTTTTTCGTCAGCCATTTTACTCCGCTAGATGTGCGGACACGAATCCCTATCAAACATGGTTGTAAAGCCACTGTTTAGTCGTCCATTTTGCATTGGACCTGAGAATGTGATGATCTCTGTTGTTTTGATGTTTTCTTTCTCTCAAGAAAGGAAAGGAGGGGAAACAGATGGGATTTTGTGGCTCTGTGCTGACATGCCTTCATCTCCCCCCCCCCTCTCTCTCTCTCTTAAGGGATGAGGAAATCCAAAGCAAGTGTGGAATCGATGCCACCACCTACCTCTCCTTCCAGCGGCATGTCTTGGTGCTGCTTCTGATCATCTGCGTGCTCTCAGTGGCTGTGGTCCTCCCTGTCAACTTCTCTGGGGATCTCTTGGGTACGTAGACTGCGTCAGGGCAGGGCACAGAAACCCCTCCAGTTGCTCTCCCACAATGTAATTAGTGGTGTGTGGCAACAGAGCTGCATTCGGACCCCAGGCCTGAGCGACCCTTGTCACCCTTGTCACCATCCTTGTACTAAGAGCCCCAAAATGCTGCTGTTTGCATAATGTTGGAGGCATGGCTGTGGAAATGAGGGGATTTCTTTAAAGGCACCTCTTGTGACAGTGCCCTCTGGTGTCTGTGACAACTCATCTCTCTCTCTCTCTCTCTCTCTCTCTCTCTCTCTCTCAGGGAAGCATCCAGCTAATTTTGGCCGAACCACAATTGCGAATGTCCCCAAAGAGTACGTGATTTCTTTTCCTCAGAGTTCTGTTGTTTTTGCTGCTTGTAGTGATGACCGTTGGGAACAAGTGAGGACCATTTACAAACCAAGAGTCCTTCATCAGCATGTCCTGGATCCATTTTTCTTGACATTATAATCCCTGTGTGTGTATGCATGTGGAAAGGTGGCCGCTGTGGTCTAAACCACTGAGCCTTTTGGGCTTGCTGATTGTAAGGTCAGCAGTTCGAATCCACGCAACAGGGTGAGCTCCCGTTGCTCTGTCCCAGCATCTGCCAACCTAGCAGTTCAAAAGCATATCAGTGCAAGTAGATAAATAGGTACTGCTGTGGCAGGAAGGTAAACAGTGTTTCCATGCGCTCTGGCACTCATCACAGTGTTCCGTTGCACCAGAAGCGGTTTAGTCATGCTGGCCACATGACCCGGAAAGTTGTCTGTGGACAAATGCCGGCTCCCTCGGCATGAAAGTGGAGTTGAGCACCACACCCCATAATTGAATTTGACTGGACTTAATTGTCCAGGGGCCATTTACCTTTACCCTATGCATGTATACCCATGTATGTACCTGGTCTGTGCAGTTGGTATGAGCAATAAGTATTTAGGTGGAAGCCACAAACAGGAAATGTTTTTATCCTCCACAGCAAAGCAAATATGGGGGGCAGGGGAAGAAGGGAATAATATCAAATCCTCCAGGGTTGGTCACTGGCTGCAAGAATTCTTTTGAACATTGCTATAACCTCATGGCAACAAATTCAGGGTCACTGTTTTTACGCACTGTGCAATTTTCTACCTTCTCGTCTACTGCTGGTCTTTGACCTGTTCCCCATATTTCCATCCCCAACATGCATGACTCTGTGATGATCTCAATGCGTAGAGAAAAAAGATCCAGGAGCTAAGGTTCTACTTGGTTTCTTCTTTTACAACTATTGGGAAGCTTTTTGTGTGTGTAAAAACGCAGGGGTAATTTGGGGTACTTCTGGGCTAGCCCTCTCTCCATGAAACTGTGATATTGTTATGTGAGGGTGGAACTTGTTGCCTACATCCCATAATGAGGGATTCTAGGTGTTCCTCAGGAAACAGTTGCGGCTTCCTTATCTTCTGGCCAAGATCCCTTGTATGTCCTGTTTGGAAAAAATGTATTTCCTTTTGTCTCCTGTAGTGACCGTCTCCTGTGGCTGCACAGCATCTTTGCCCTCCTCTATTTCATCATCACCGTGCTCTGCATGGCTCATCACTCCATCCAGCTTGAATACAAGGAGAATGAGAAGGTAAGAAATACAGTGGCCCCATTCACGCCTTCCCCTTCTGCCCTTTCAGAGAAACGCTGGGCAATGAGGTGTTTTCATTGTCTTTTACTAAGAGAGATCCTTGGGTCCAAAGCTGGTTTCAAGAAGTTCACACTGGTATGGTTAGAATGTTGGATTTTGCTCTGGAAGGAGGTGGGTTGAAATCCCAAGCCAGCTGTAAACTAATTTACTAGGTGGCCTTTCACAAATTACTCAGAAGACCAATGAGGCAAGCGTCTTATGTAGGAAAGACTCCTATATAAACAAAACAAAAAAAATTCCTTCCAGTAGCACCTTAAAACATATATAAACAGTAATTTTATATAAACAGTAATTTTTTACATCTTTATTAATGTTATGAATTAGCTGCAAGTGGGAAGGTTAATTTAATTCAAAAGAGAGAATGGATCCCAGTATGTTTCAGTCAGGTCACCATCCACTGTTGGGGAATTTTGGAGTCTGGTGTCTGTGTCCTTAATGAGAGTTGTGGACCAAAAATGAGAACTCCCTCTTGGGTTGCTTTTATTTTAATTTGCATGCCATCCCATAACAAAATTATTTGGGTGGGCTACAGTAAGTATAAAAAAAATACAAAAGAAAGAAACCCATAAAATAAAGCAGCATAAATATGTGTTTAACAGCTTACCACTTTGCATAGTCTCTTAATGCCTTGGCAAAATTTCAGAATTAAGCTTTATCTGTACAGAATTCTAGATACCCTGCTTATTTGCAGGAGGGGGGTAGTCTGGACCTGTTGCTCTCAGGTGTCTCCTTTATTCAGGGACTTCCTCCCTTTTTTCTCCCTAAGGTGGCCCGGACCCTGATGGTTACCAGGATTCCCAAAGATATTATGGATCCCTCCCTTGTCATCAAACATTTCCAGTAAGTGCAACTATAAGCTGATATTCATGCCTCTAAACACATCCCCTTTCTTCTCTAGCTAGTAATAGTCACTCACTGAAGGTGGATGGGAGACTGCCTGGGTACCACTTATACAACACCTTGGGTCCCAGATGGGTGAAATGTGGGATATAAATATACAAAAATAAAATAAATACATTCATAAGGTAATGTCCCATTTTTAACCAATCACTGCTACAACAGCTTTCTAAAGACGTATTCTGTATTTCATGGTACCATCCCAGTCTCCGTTCCCTTGTGACTCCAGGGATGGGGTGGGCAGGACTGATCAAGCTCCATCGCTTCCTTTTCACAGGTGAGCATGTTCCTTAAAGATCTTGATTTTCTCTTCTCAACAGTGAGGCTTACCCAAGCTGCACAGTGACTGGTGTCCAGTTCTGTTCTGACGTTCGCACACTGATGAAGTTGGATTCAGAGAGGTGGGTGTGTTGTTTTTCTGCTGAGACCTGGATTTTTCTAAACTCCTTGGATTCTATTAAGCAGATATCCTGATATCAATTTTACAGTGCAGTAGCAATCACCTTTCCGCAAGATTGTTCTCACCCAGCCTTGAGAATTGCTTCAGGCACTTTGCAAGACACAAGGGAGAAGCTTGTGTCTGATCCTTTTAACATGACAAAGACTTGCATCTTGGCAATTATTTGCTGCATTTTATTTATTATTTTACTTAGAGCACTTAGGCTCCCAGAGTGGCGTACCTTTGATAAAAACAAGATGGTCTCTGCCATCAGGTTTACAATCGAAAAAGGCACAGCACACGAGGGAAAAGGAACAGGGAAGAAAGGGGGGGAGCAAACTCACATGTCAGTTCTTAATGTTGAATAGTAGTTCTTACAATGACCAGCTGGAATGGAAACAGTTAAAGGGCAGACCCCTTTCTGGTCTGCGTCACTTAAACATACCGTTTTTATCCATAATTCCATTCCGGCCTCACATTTAATCTGCAATTTTAAATAAATTCCTCTCAAGATATGTCTCTAAATACACTGCCTCAAATCACAACTTTTTACTCCGTGAATGAAAGGAGTTTTGAGGTCATGACGGGGTTTCTTCTGTGAATGCAGCTCTTCTTCCATGAATGGAGGCTCCCATTCACAGAGCCAAAGGATCCAGGCCACACACCTTGATACCTATTTAAGCAAGTATTTTGTCTGCATATTTAAATAAATATGTAAATGCCAAAAGCTGCACCGCAACGTTACTTCCTAGGAACATCACAGCTGAGGTTCTGAGGATGTAATTCTGTAATGCAGGGGTGGGAAACCTCAGACCCAGAGGTTAAATGTGGCCTTCCAGTCCTCTTTATCTGACCCTGAGAACTGCCCCCAGTCCACACTCCTCACTGGCCTGGTTGGAAAGTGTCCCTGAAATATTTCATGCCTCTTTTGCTTGTCTGGATGGAGCATGTATGGGTGTGGAGACACTAGAATGCTGTACAAAGGCAACGTTTACACCTGTATTTCTGCCCACTTTTGTCCCCACTCACCACTGTCATGTGGCCCTCAGAAGGTTGCCTGGAAGGGAATGTGGCCCTTGCAATGAAAAAGGTCCCCCACCCCTGCTGTACAGAATCCGAAAGCCTCAAACTTAAGCAAAGTAACCACAGTTGTGCATGCATGGAAATACACTTACCATATTTTTCCGTGTATAAGACGATATTTTATCCTTCAAAATGATGGGCAAAAATTGAGGGTCGTCTTATACACGGATAACAGTGGGTGGGTGGGCAATTGGTGGCAGCAGCCAGCAGGAGATTTTCAGCGACAATTGGCCATGTGATTGGCCTGCTGAACAACTTTGGGCAATTTCCCCCCGAAAAATAGGGGTTGTCTTATACATAGGGGTGTCTTATACACGGAAAAATACGGTAATTCTGAACACAATGATTCAATGGGCAGCCTCGTTAACTTTCCGCTCTGCTTCCTTTTTGCTGGCAGGCGCAAGGCAATGAAGGGGAGGCTTTACTTCACCACCAAGGCTCAGAAGGAGGGGAAAATCATGATCAAGATCCACCCCTGCTCACGGATATTCTGTTGCCGTAGTTGCGGCTTTGAAGAGGTACAGAGTGAAATTCAGGGCCTGCACATGAAACTGACCATGGGCATTTATGATTGTCCATTACCCTGTTTCTTTGTTAGTCTGCTGGCTACCAAGCTAAGCTAGAGACGATTTCCATGTGAAGTTTGATTGAGTGGTTGCTTTTATACAGTGCTTTTTTAAAAAAAAGTTTAGGGGTGCTTTCATTTTGACTCAAGAAAATCTCAATTTTATAGTTCAAATTGGGAAAAATGAATACAGTAAATGGACAAAAGTACAAAGAACATGCATTACCTCATATTACACATTACATATTACATATTACTTCATATTACACATATTACATATATTACATATTACTTCTTCATATTACACAGCTGACAGTAAAACACCACACTTCCATATTGCTTCACATTTTAAACGCTCACTTCCATCTGAGACTCAGGAAATGAGGCTGCCATCGGAAGTGGTAACAACGAAACTGACCAGTCACTGTGCTATTCAATGGAACTGATGATTCACCGTGCTAGAGAAGAAACTAAAAATTAAAAAAAAAATAGTTTCTTCCATTAAATTCACAAAATGTTTAGGGGTATGCGTCCCCCTGCGTCCCCCTAGAAAAAAAGCACTGCTTTTATATAACCACCTTTTCGCCAAGGCGCCCAAACATGGTTTGTAGTTTTAAAATATGAAAACAAATGCATGTTATAAAACGCAGAGTGACTGACAGAGTCATCTCAGGCCACACAGGTCTCTCCAAGAGCTGATGGCAACAAGCTCCCTGGCTTGTGTTCCCTCGTTCCTGCCTTCCCTCAGGCTGCACAGGCCTTTCTTGAGCAGCCCCAGGGAAGGTGGTGGGGGAAAGGCCTGCTCCAACAGTTCTCTCAGACCTCTTGATGGTTATGTCAGGAGCTGATGGTTAGTGCTCCCTGGCCCAAGTCTCCTAGCTTCTGCCTTCCCTCGGGGCACACAGGTCTTTCTTAAGCAGCCTCAGGGAAATGTCACCCAGTGACAGGGGAGAAAAACTTGGAAATGGGAGTGTGTGTGTGTGTGTGTGTGTGTGTTTTTCTTGAGCACTTGCCTATCCCCTGGACCCAGTTCATGACAGAGCTGAAATTGGTCTGCTACACAACTGGCCTTCACCTGGTGAATTTGAACCCACAATTTTGTTAAGCCCAAGTCAGAAATGGGCCACACCAGTGGCACTCTTTCCCCCATTCTTCATGCACATTTTGTAAATGTGTGAGGAGGCTTGTTTGTGTCTCTCTTCCTCTGTGTTCAGAACATAAAGAAAGGATTGTATAAAGACAGACACACAAGGGATTTTTTATTTTTTTTAAGGCCCAATGTTTCAGATTAGGACTAAAGGGGATTGTTTGAGCACCGAGAGAAAGCTCAGTGAAGACAATAATTTATAGAGAAATGGATACATGAGGTTAAAAATGGGCCCAGCATTTCAGATTGGGACAGAAGCGGGGATCATTAGAATATCCATAGACAGTGTGTCTGAGGGAGAGAGATATAGAGAAAGGCACACGAGGTAGTGAAAATTAAAAATGGGCCCAATATTTCAGGCTGGGACTAAAAGCAGGGCTTGGGCTGAAACTGTTACAAACTGTTACACGGTTCTACGTCATCTCGGAAGACGTGCTTCAGCTTGCACCATCTAGAGGCCTTGCTGGAATACTGTCTGGCAGCTGGCAGCTGTTATTCCAACTGAGACCATAGTCTCCTTGACATAGTTATTGCTGTTCTTTTTCAAGTAGTGTCTGCCTGAAAGGGCTGGAATGACGCAGTTAATCTCTCTCACTTGCATGCACACACCTTCCTGTGACAGCTGATTCACTCCAGTTGCAACTCCTGGGCTAGAATTTGGCAGCTGACGAATGTTTGCTTGGTACCAATTTTATTGCGGAGTCTGGCCTTGGACTTTTACTCCACCTCATTACAGCAAGTATAATCAGTTTACATTGGTGATGGAAAATGCCTAGATTAAACCAGTGTATATCATTCTTGCTGTCTCACAAAAAAAATAATTGTGCGGTAGTTGGAGTTTCAGGAAGCAGCCGGTGAATGCAGCCTTTCAGAGAATGCGTGAAGACAGAAGATGATAACTTCATTCTGCATTTACTCTCACAGGCATTTCAAAGCAGAACCAATAACTGAGCATGCTTCGTTTTTTCCCTGCTAGGTAGATGCAGAGCAATACTATGGGGAGCTAGAAGAGAAATTGACAGATGAATTTAATGCAGAGCGAAGCCGGATTGCGCTGAAACGCCTCGACATGGCTTTTGTCACATTTCAGGATGAGAGGATGACAGCCACGTGAGTGTTCCCTGCTACTACTAATTTCTCTAGGAGTTTGTTCACACTGAACGTCTTAACTTGAACCATATTTGAGGTCAGAAAGGATTATCTCCAAGGGGAACATTAGGAATATAGGAAACTTCCTTATACAGAGTCAAACATTGGCCCATCTCACTCAATATTGACTGATTGGCTGCTGTTTTCCAGGGTTTGGGGCAGCGATCTCTCCCAACCCTATTGGAGATGCCAGGGATTGAACCTGGGATCTTCTGCATCATCATCATCATTTATTACTTATACCCTGCCCATCTGGCCGGGCCTCCCCATCTACTCTGAGTGGCTTCCAAAAAACACAATAAAACATCAAACATTAAAAAACTTCCCTAAACAGGGCTGCCTTCAGATGTCTTCTAAATGTCAGAAAGTTGTTTATTTCCTTGACATCTGGTGGGAGGGTGTTCCACAGGGCGGGCGCCACTACCAAGAAGCCACAGCCCTTTTGTCCAAAATGGAGCTACATTCTGTATGGGAGTGGTATTGGACCACCCTCCTCCAACTGTTGCCTTTTCTCTCCCCCAGTATTCTGAAGGATTACAGCCGTGTCTGCTGTCGCAAGCATCCACAACAGTCTTCTGTTACCACAGTGGTGAAATCCCATTGCTGGGGGGTCAGCTATGCCCCCGCTCCCAACGACATCATCTGGTAAGTTCCCATGCTTCTGCCATCTTGGTTTTCAAGGGAGCATCAAGACAAGGAGCAAGTTCAACATGTTGAAATTTTAAGATTCCATGTTATACTTTTGGGTGTTTCAAGACTAGCAAATCCACCGCTTTAAACCCTAGGCCAGCCTTCTCCAACCTAGTGCCCCCAATATGTTTTAGAAAGCGTCTGTCAGCCCCATCCAGCACAGCATCAGGTTACGGGAGGCTGGCCTGGGCAGTGACATCAGGCAGAAAAGAGAGAGAGATGTAAATGTTCCTTTGGGCACTGATGTTGAAATATGCTGGTGAGTCCAGAGAGTGTTTGGTTATTCTGGTGCTTTTTTGTAGCCACTGTTAAAAATTCACTACATAAAAATTCAGCAAAATTGAGAAAACGGTAACTGAGGCAACTAACATTACATACTGAAATGAATCCCTAGGGAAATTATTATTTGTTATTATTTATTACATCTGTATACCACCCTTCATCTGAAGATCACAGGGCAATTCACAACATAAAAATACAAAATGAGAATAGCCTAACTTCTGTAATCTGTGCTCTGGTAAGCTATAGGTGGATCCATTAGACTCCAAGGGCAGACCATCCTAATAGTTCTGCCACCTCTGCAGAGGGTAAAAGGTGCCAAAAGCCTAAATCTCAGCAAGAAGTGATCTGACCATGACAAGGGACCATGACAAGGGATGTCAGTATCTCCCACTTTCGGATCGCCTTCTTCCTACCCAGTTGAGAAAACAAGGTTCAGAGTGTGGCCTGCCACATGCGTTGGGCTGATGACATGTTGGGACAGCACCATGGTCGTTATGGCAGCCATGGAGTCCTGAGCTACCCCACAGCCAGTGCCTCAGGGAGATTTGGCTGAGTACAACTATACCTTCAAAGCACATTTCCCCCTCAGGGCACTGCAGTTCATTCCTCAGAGTTAAAATTCCCAGCAAGCCTTCCCAAACTACAATGCCCAGAATTCTTTGAGCAACAAAATTGTTGTTGTTGTTGTTGTTGTTGTTGTTGTTGTACCACCCTCTAGCCATAGATCTCAGGGCAGTTCACAATGAAATGTGCTTTGAATGTGTGATGTGTACGCAATCATAGAGGAGAACCTTAGTATTCAGACACATTCATGTGGCAGAAGGCAGACTTTTTAATCTATTTCCACAGGGAAAGTTATGTTACTCTGCACTGCAACAAAAACAACAGTTTTGTGGTGCCCAAAAGACTAACCAATTTATTGCAGCATTGGCTTTTACAGACCACATTCCAGTTCACCAGTTGCATGAAGAATAATCCTCAAGTGCATGTATATACATAGTTGATTGGAGAATTGTAAGCAGTGAGGTCAGTGTCTGTAATTTTTGCATTTTATTTCCCTCCAATCTCACTGCTTACTACCCTTCCATGTGTAGATATACCTGCAACTAGGGTTTACACTGCACGCAACTGATGAACTGGACTCGAGCCCACAAAAGCGTAGGCCGCAATTGATTTCTTACTGCTCCTTAGAATCTTAACTGTTTTTGTATCATTGCTTGTGGAAGAACTGAGTGAAACAACAGCACCATCTGCTGACTGCCATTAATACACTACACAAAGGTGGTGTGGAAACTGTTCTCGAGGATATTGACAGGATTTTTGTAGCTTCCGCAATGACCAAAGAAAACTGCCTTACACTGAGTCCATCTACTCAGTTTTGTCTATACTGACTGGGAGTTTCTCCTAACCTTACCTGGAGACACCAGAGATTGAACCTTGGATCTTTTGCATGAAAAGCAGATGCTACACCACTTGAGTTACGGCCTTTATCCTTGGCCACCTAGCAGACCTATCTGGCTGAACTGAGTATTCATCTGTAGATGCTTCCAAACATCTGCTTAATCCAGCCAACACCATGCTTTTGTGGGTACAGTGTGCCACTGATTGGTCATCCACAAAGCAAATAATCCTCAAGCCAGTGTTACCTTTTTAAAACAATCACTAATTTCAGCAGCCAGCATGTTGCAAACAACTGCAAACACTTTGCGCACAATCAGTATATTTCTAGTTAGATATTGAGATTTATGCAGAAGTCCTAAACCCCAAAAGTGAGGGCAAGAGTGTTATTATGAGATGGGAACTTCTTAACTCCGCCTTCACTAACCTGGTTGCCCTCCATGTGTTTCAGTCTGCAGTCGGGCTGGCTGGGGCTGATGGGAGTTGTAGTCTTAACACATCTGGAAGGCATCAGGTTGACGGCAGCTGCTGTCACCTCTTGGCCGGCTGCCTTCCCTGCACTCCGCATGCCCCTCATGCTTTCTTTCTTGTAGGGAGAACTTATCCGTCAGCGGTGCTTCGTGGTGGGTGCGATTTGTCATGCTCAATATCTGCCTCTTCATCCTCCTCTTCTTCCTCACCACGCCCGCCATCATTGTCAACACCATGGACATGTTCAACGTCACGCGGCCTGTGGAGAGCCTCAAGGTGCACACTGCCATCCCCTGTGGGGTTCTTCCTTATTGGTACTAGAGCCCAGCTATGGGGAGGGTAACATTCCCACTCCCTGCTTTTCAGGGTTTGCCCATTCCATGCCCATCCACTCCCAAAAGAGAAGCATATACCTGTGAAAGCATTGGACAGGGAATAAAATCTCTGCCTAATGTCCTGATAGTGGAGCCTTTAGCACTGCTCTGCCCAGGGCAGCCAGACTGCTGTGTGCTCTGTGCTATGGTACTTGCCATCTTCATCTTTGATCTTCAAACGCATCCCGATATTGAATAGGTTGTTGCACCGAAGGAAGAATGACACAGGTGATCCTCTGGTTTAGAGAAGGAGCTGTGGCAGAAATCTCCCAGCACAGAACAGCCATTCATCCTTTTTCGCCTTTGATGTGGCGTTGTTTTCCCCCCAAGCCACACTTACAGTCAGTGACCGAATTAGCAGCAATGAGAGGGAACCTAGGCTATGCACTATCAAGGAGAAGTTGTATGCTTTTAGTCCTGTTCCCAGGGTGCGGCAGGGAGAGAAGCTGCTGGATTCTCAGTAAAATTATTAAGTAATATTATTCCTCCTTTCTATCTCATTTCCCAGAATCCTATTGTCACCCAGTTCTTCCCCACGCTGCTGCTCTGGGCTTTCTCAGTGTTCCTGCCTTTCATTGTGTACTACTCTGCTTTCTTCGAATCGCACTGGACAAGGTAACTCATATCCTTACACCCACAACTTTTAAAATGGTTTTATGCTGGAAACACACCCCAGGGGTTAGATTTTGTTGCATTACGCATTTTCAGAGTTTCTCTGGGGGTCTATCTGGCTGTGACAGTAACAGTCAGTAAAATTCATTGCTGAATCTGGGAATCCTTTTATCTGGTTGTTTTAATAGCATGGTTTCCCAAGCTAAAAGAAAAAACCTGGTAAACCCTAAAAGAACCCCATGCTTTATTTTATTTATTCATATTGGAGCAAAAGGGTTTGTAACTCTCATTATTGTTGTCATTTATTACATTGAGACACTGCCTTTATCTCAAGGTGGGGTACATGTTTCTCCTCCTCCTCCTCCTCCCTATTTCATCACAACAACCCTGTGAGGTAGGTTAGGCTGCGAGGCGGTGACTGGCCCCAGGTCATTCAGTGAGCTTCATGGCTGAGTGGGGATTTGAACCCTGGCCTCCAAAGTCCTATTCCAACACTATAACCATTATGCCACACACAATGTATGCTGCTTTACTTAAATCAGATTTTAGTAGGGCTTTTCATAATACAATACAAGAAAAAACAAACTAATCTAAACAAAAACCAAAAAAAGAAAAATGCAAAGTCCTCATCAAAACCTCAAAGTGTGTTTCAGTGACATTTTGTGATATTTATTACTGAATCTGAGGATGTTTTTATCAGGTTGCTTTAGTAGTATCATTTCTGGAGTTTTACTTCAAAATTCTAACCTAGCTCCTGTTACGTTGCTGATTGTCTCTCCCCATGGAATAAATATGGTGGGATAAATATGTGTTGTTGTTGTTTTTCCCTTTTAGGTCAAATGAGAATCAGATCACAATGCACAAGTGTTATTTTTTCCTGGTGTTTATGGTTATCATCTTGCCCTCACTTGGATTGACCAGGTACAAAACAACTTGCAGATGTTAAAACACAAATCATTCTTCCTTTGTTCAGGCCTTTTGTGAAGCCTCTTGGAGGCCTTTTGTTTGCAGATTGAATGCATGCTTCCTGTCTCACAGAACGCACTGCAGTTCAGCCCCCCTCTGATAGGGAGACCAGCAGTTCTGAATAAGTAGTTGGCAAGATTTAAAGCCAGAAGTGAATCAGCAGCACTTGAGATTTGCACAAGTGTGTTTTCCATGTGGTAGCTCAAATTACCACATAAAACCTTGCTTTTAAAGTGATTTGCTGATATTAAGCTTACTGCCATATAAAAGGAAGGTAAATTGAATCCACTCCTTTCAAAAGAGAAAATTAAGCTCACTTTAGAGGTAAATTTATTTAGGATTGAGACTTGACTTGGCACTCCGTTCTTCCTTTCTAAAGCAAAATGAATGCTTTCTCGGGCATTTTGATTTGCATGAGGAAGTAGAGACAAAGTAGTAGGTGGTATTTCACGACTTTAGTCATCTGTATAAGAGGGCAGTGTGTATGAAGGTCCGGAGAGGGGCAAATCAAAGGGGCCTTGGGGCAACACAACAAAAATCCTAAAGGCTACACCAGCAGCGGCTGTGGTGGTGGAGCAGAGCCTCCCCTCCCCCCCAGCACCAGCTTCGCTATAGCTTCCATGTACAGGCTAGGGCAAAGTGCCGCTGAGGTTGGGAATGCACAGACACACTGGTGAAGCCGGCATGGTGGTCCTGCTGGCATAGCTCCAGCCTTTAGTGGGCTAACTAGTGGCCTGGGGGCCCTGCATAAGTTTCCTTGCAAAGGAATAAGCCTCTGTTGCATTCTTGCTCTCTGTTCTCCTTCCCCAGTTTGGATCTCTTCTTCCGCTGGCTCTTTGACACCCACTTTGTGGATCAGGCAGAGATCAAGTTTCAGTGAGTATTGCTCAGAACTGTGTGTGAGAGAGAAAGAGGGCTCACCAGTTCTGCTGGCAAGATGGGTGCCCTTGTTTGTGTTTATGAGGTACGTCACGAGCATGTGTGGCCTTGGTTCTCAGCAAAGCTTTCTGGAAGTGCCACTTTCTCCCGGTCTGTTTAGAGCATCTCTCTCCTCCGCCCCTGGTTTCTTCCCACCTAGGTGTGTTTTCCTGCCCGACAACGGTGCTTTCTTTGTCAACTATGTCGTCACCTCCAGCCTGATTGGGACAGCCATGGAGTTGCTGCGCATCCCTGGACTCATTGTCTATGCCACGCGGCTCTGCTTTGCCAAGTCTGAACCGGAGCGGCTCCACATCAAGCGGGTTTGCGGTTTCATTACTTTCTCACTCACACTCAGCCGCATGCCATCCTGTCTTAGGACCAGAAGGCTGTCCTCTTGGCACTTCTGTGTTTTGTGAATCTCTGGGATTCCCTCTTGTTATGTCTTGTTCTGAAGCAACTCTGTCCTGTAAGGGTGTGGAAATGCCACCCACCCCCAACCCAAATACTCACAAATGGCCAGGCTTGAGGTTCAGCTTCTCCAAAGGTTTATGAGAAACATCAACTTAGGGCAAGCTTCAGTCCTGGAGTGTTATTAGTTAGGATTATATATATATTCTATGTGTTTCAGCTGCATACTATGCAGTGTGTGAGTGAGAACAAAGCTTAGCTTTCTCTTTTCACAGTAGGCACTTGCCTGTGCATTGTTGTTGCAGATATAATATTGGAGAACAAGGACAGCAATCTTGGGAGAAGGGTTCTAATGGCCCAGGTTCTTATGGAGCAGGAATCTCATGAAAGTCAAGCTGTATTTGGGAGTTCACTGTCATGATACTTATCATCCAAAGGGGACCCACCTCTTTTACTGTGTCACCATCTGCTGGCTCCCACTGCCTTCCACACTTTGGGGGAGGGAGGAGGTCTGAAGTGGGATCTACACATGTCTAGGCTCCCTGTGTGCACAACCCTGCCTATACGATCCTGGTTGTGTATGATGCTAAATAATGTAGGGAATCTCCCCACTTTAGACTTCCTCCTCCTCTGAGTGGAGGGTGGAGTGGCTGGGCAGCGGAGATGCAACACAGAGGCCCTTAACATAATTTCAATCACATGAGTATTAGACACCCAAAGAGGGCTTCTGATTGGCCCAGAGCAGACAATGCTTAACACATTGACCATGATTAGCACTGTTGCCTGAACACTGCTTAACATCCCAAAGAAACATCGAAACCATGATGTAGCTTGTAAAGGGCATATCTATGGAGATGTTAGCAAAACCTGATTGTTGCTTTGCAGGCAAGAGAAGCTCAGGAGGCAGGGAAGCTGCTTCAACCACAGTTTGCTCAGTGCAGGCCAATGCAGTGGTTTGCAACCTATTTGAACCATGATTTTGCATCCTGGTTTGTGGCCAATACTTAACCATGGTTTAGGTACAGAGATGTAATGCTTAACCGTAGCTAAGGGAAACAAATCACATTGGCTCAAGGCTTTTAAGTGTGCTAACCCAGCCAATAAGTGCTCTTTTAGCTCTCCTTATGATGAAGTAAAAGACAACAGGATAAATGTGCTGCTGTGTTTTCCTTAGAACCAAGCTTATGAGTTCCAGTTTGGATTGGAGTATGCCTGGACCTGCTGTATATTTGCTGTTGTCATGACCTATAGCATCACCTGCCCCATTATTGTCCCCTTTGGTAAGTATCTCTGCCAGCCCCCCAAAGTTCCTGTCCTGGTCTAGTCACTTGAGAAAATCAATATCCTAGTCAGATTTCAGGATGCATGGGGAAGGATATGGGGAGTAGAGATGGGGCTGCTGGGCAGGGCAGCTGCTGAAGTTTGCCTAATAGGATTCAGGGCAAAACGTAGGGCTCTGCTACCATGCAGTTGCGTTTCACAGCTAAAAGCAGCCTTACCAAAATCCACATGGCTGCACTCCAAACACTGGGCTGCCATACTTTCTACATTTAAAAACTTTAGATCAGGAGTAGCCAATATGGTGCCCTTCAAATGATGTTGGACTCCAACTCTCATCTTCCCCAGTCAGGGATGATGGGAGCAATCCAACAGCATCTGAAGGGCACCATAATGCCTACCCCTGTCTTAGATGTTTTCGTGCATTTGTGCTCAAGGCTGTAGCCTTAATGCAAGGGGAAGGACTGTACCTTAGTGGTAGAACATGTGCTTTGCACACACAGAATCCCACACTCAGTCTCTGGGAAACTCATTCTGAAACTTTGTAGAGCTGCAATCAATTGGTAGAGACAATACTGAGCCATTTAGTGTAGATGCTGCTGCTCTGACTCAGTTATAAGGCAGCTTCCTGTGTTCCTCTACCAACACACACACACCAAGATATTCCAGGCTCCTCTGAATTATTAGTGTTCTGGGTTTGGTTTCGTTTGGTTTCGTTTTAATAAAAAGCAAATCTCTAGCTCAGGGTTTCCCAAACTTGGGTCTCTAGTTGTTTTTGGACCACAATTCCAATCATTCCTGACCACTGATCCTGCTAGCTAAGGATGATGGGAGTTGTAGTCCAACAGCAGCTGGAGGCTCTGTGTAAATAATGTAATAATGTGTAAATAATGCATATTAAGCTACATTTATTTAGGTTTTAGCTCTTTCACATTGAATTATAATACCCCATTCCCAAAGTACACTTTCTGGACAGAAAATGACTATGGGCTTGTACTTTGCCTAGTAGATTTGTAGTCCATTCCTGGCTGCCAGCAACTCTCAACGGTCACAGGCAGAGGTCTTTCCCAGCCCAGCTACCTGGAATCCTTTTTAACAGAAGAAGCCAGGGATTGAATCTGGGGCCTCCTGCATGCGGAGCACGTGTCCCACTACTAGCTAAGCTGTGGCCTCTCCCACTGAATCGCCTGCTGCAAAATCTCTCTTGGCCAAGCCCCTCATCAGCTTGCCTACCGGCATCTCCTTTGACCATTCCTTGTCCTTTTGCTCCCATATCTGTGCCTGCAGGTTTGCTGTATATGCTGCTGAAGCACATGGTTGACCGCTACAACATTTACTATGTCTACATCCCCACCAAACTGAACCAGCGCATCCACACGGCAGCTGTGAGCCAGGTGGTGGTAGCTCCCATCCTCTGCATGTTCTGGCTGCTCTTCTTCTCCGTCATCCGACTAGGTAGGCAGGGGCCTGCCATCAAGCATACCCTGAGCTGAACCTTCTTCCTCTAAGGCTGTTAGAGACATTTATTTAGGAAAGGTTGAGTAGTATCCAGACTGAGCGCATCCATTTACCCCCAGGAAGTTGCTTTGAATGTTGTGTTGGCTGGGGCTGGTGAGTCCAATAACATCTAAAGGGCCACAGATTCACCACTGGTGATTTAGAGAGCCCTCATCCAGATGTGACAGGCCTTGCTCCTAACAAAAGCGGGTTTGGGTCTCAGGAGTTGCAGACTACCGTTACTTTAAATTGTAGGCAGAGAAAGCAATGGCACCTAATGTCATTTCCTGGTCTGTCAACACTGTAGGCTCCATCAGACCCATCACCATTTTCACCTGCGTGGTCCTTGTCTCCTGCATCCTTTCTTCCTTCTTTGGCCTTTGTCTGAAGAAGCTGCATCCAAGGAAGCCCTCCAGTTACCAGGTAAGAAAGGCAAGAATGTGCCCAGTTTACTGTGTGCTGTTTCTTACATTTGCTCACAACCACTTGTCACCTGAGCTACATGAGGAAAATCCAAGCATGGAGAGATGGTTACCACAATATTATTTACGATGCATGTACACACTTCTCAGACTAGCATGTTCCACCCACAACCACTTTTAAAATGTTGCGCTACATACATTTGCTTTGAAATGGATGGATGCGTGCATTAAACCTTTTACCAAAAACGTGAAATGCTTGTCAGATCTACTTTAGAAAATACATATAGAGAATTGGATGCCTTGGGACACATTCTGAACGGAGGAGTTTATCTTCGGTACCAGAACTGATCTCACAGTCCTGTCAGACTAAAGTCTGGTCCTGGTTAGCATTCTTGGTTTCAGCAGCCAAATTTAGTCAGGGAAAGTTGTTTTGTTGCTGTTGTTAAGAGTCAGGAAACCCTTGCTGATACACCACAAACCAGGCAGAGATGTACTAGTAGACCTCGACTGACCTCTGCCCCACCCCTTCTGTCAAATGACACAAACACAACATACGAGTACGCAGAATACCGGAGAGGGAGGGAATCAACTCTCAAATGCTGACCAAATAAAGGACAAAAGACAAAAGTGGTAAGGACCTAACAGAAGCAGAAGACATCAAGAAGAGGTGGCAAGAATACACAGAAGAATTATACCAGAAAGATATGGATGTCTCGTACACCCCAGGTAGTGTGGTTGCTGACCTTGAGCCAGACATCCTGGAGGGTGAAGTCAAATGGGCCTTAGAAAGCACTGCAAATAACAAGGCCAGTGGAAGTGATGGTATTCCAGCTGAACTATTTAAAATTTTAAAAGATGATGCTGTTAAGGTGCTACACTCAATATGCCAGCAAATTTGGAAAACTCAGCAGTGGCCAGAAGATTGGAGAAGATCGGTCTACATCCCAGTCCCAAAGAAGGGTAGTGCCAAAGAATGCTCCAACTACCGCACAATTGCACTCATTTCACACGCTAGCAAGGTTATGCTTAAAATTCTACAAGGAAGGCTTAAGCAGTATGTGGATCGAGAACTCCCAGAAGTGCAAGCTGGATTTAGAAGAGGCAGAGGAACCAGAGACCAAATTGCAAACATGCGCTGGATTATGGAGAAAGCTAGAGAGTTCCAGAAAGACATCTACTTCTGCTTCATTGACTATGCAAAAGCCTTTGACTGTGTCGACCACAGCAAACTATGGCAAGTTCTTAAAGAAATGGGAGTGCCTGATCACCTCATCTGTCTCCTGAGAAATCTCTATGTGGGACAAGAAGCTACAGTTAGAACTGGATATGGAACAACTGATTGGTTCAAAATTGGGAAAGGAGTACGACAAGGCTGTATTTTGTCTCCCTGCTTATTTAATTTATATGCAGAATACATCATGCGAAAGGCTGGGCTGGATGAATCCCAAGCTGGAATTAAGATTGCCGGAAGAAATATCAACAACCTCAGATATGCAGATGACACAACCTTGATGGCAGAAAGTGAGGAGGAATTAAAGAACCTTTTAATGAGGGTGAAAGAGGAGAGCGCAAAATATGGTCTGAAGCTCAACATCAAAAAAACGAAGATCATGGCCACTGGTCCCATCACCTCCTGGCAAATAGAAGGGGAAGAAATGGAGGCAGTGAGAGATTTTACTTTCTTGGGCTCCATGATCACTGCAGATGGTGACAGCAGCCACGAAATTAAAAGACGCCTCCTTCTTGGGAGAAGGGCAATGACAGGCCTAGACAGCATCTTGAGAAGTAGAGACGTCACCTTGCCAACAAAGGTCCGTATAGTTAAAGCCATGGTTTTCCCAGTAGTGATGTATGGAAGTGAGAGCTGGACCATCAAGAAGGCTGATCGCCGAAGAATTGATGCTTTTGAATTATGGTGCTGGAGAAGACTCTTGAGAGTCCCATGGACTGCAAGAAGATCAAACGCATCCATTCTTAAGGAAATCAGCCCTGAGTGCTCACTGGAAGGACAGATCGTGAAGCTGAGGCTCCAGTACTTTGGCCACCTCATGAGAAGAGAAGACTCCCTGGAGAAGACACTGATGCTGGGAAAGATGGAGGGCACAAGGAGAAGGGGGCGACAGAGGACGAGATGGTTGGATAGTGTTTTTGAGGTTACCAGCATGAGTCTGACCAAACTGCGGGAAGTAGTGGAGGACAGAGGTGCCTGGCGTGCTCTGGTCCATGGGGTCACGAAGAGTCGGACACGACTAAACGACTAAACAACAACAACAACAAAGGTGAAGCTGTCTAATCTTGGAAGAATTATGTATGTGCTTATTGAATCCTGATGATTCCAATAAGGAATAGCATAGGACTTCAAAGTATCAACGAGAAAACAGAAAAAGAAATGCTGCTGCAAGTCTTGCTGATATTTTACATTGTTGATATTTTACATACTGGGTATCCCTTTTATTGTTTCCTGATTTTGGAGGGCATTCATTTTGGGGGGCATTTGTTCTCCCTCTTTATGGTTGCATTATTCTTCAGTGTTACATTTTTGTACCTCAAAAGGCACTATAGTACACTGAGTCACACAACTATTTTTCACTTCCCCACAATCTTAGTAATTGCCCTTGAATAGCCTGAAAACAAAGAGAAGTGCATTCTCGGAGTGTAGTGACAGCTCATTTTGTGCCTTTTGGGTTTGTATTCCACTTTTTCTCCAAGGAGCTCCAAGCAGCATGTGTGCTGTATGGTCCATTTTGTCCTCACAATAATTTTGTGAGGCGTTTTAGCCCATGATCTTCGTGAATGAGTGGATATTTGACCCGGGGGTCTCCCTAGTCTAAGTTCAGTAGTATATCCCCTTACACGAGGGTGTTTTCACAAGGCGTCCACCTCAAAAATAGCCATGATCTATTGACCTGCAGCAGGGATGGAGAAGTTTTGACCCTCCCATTGGTTCCAGCCAGATAATAGGAAATGTAGTCCAACAAGATATGGGGGGCTCCAGGTTTGTAACACTTGCTTTTGGGAGAATCACCATTTTGGGAGCTACGGGTCGAGCATCAATCCCTGATTTTCTATCCCTCGCCCAACTTTATTCTCCTCTCCACCTGCAAGCAGATGTCTGAGCAATCTGAAGGTGCCTTCAATGATACAGAAAGGAGCAGCATCTCTTCAACCCCCAATTCAAATGTAAGTATATCTTCCATTTCCTGTATGCCTCCCTTACTGGCCTTGCACACTTGCTTGCAATGTCCCGGTTCCCTCATGCAGACTGGCAAGGTCCACGTGCCAGCGTTTCTGCAGTCACTATCCTTTCACAAAAGGGAAGAGTTACAGGAGAAATTTGTCTTTTCAGCAAGATGCAAAGCAAAGGACCTCGGAATTGTAACTTCCTTGCTCTTTGTGTTGTAGATGTTTGTGGCTACAGTGCTTCAGGAGCCAGAACTAAGCCTAACGCCAGCAGCCTCCCCAGCTCACCAGTCTTACGGCACCATGGGCAGCCGCCTGGAGCAAGCCGAGAACATGGAGGAGGGAGGCCTGCAGAGCTTTGAAACAGAGCTGGAGAGCACAGAGGGCGAATACAGAACCGGGCCAGTGCTGGATGACCAAACCCGCTATCATTGACCACCTGCTCTCAGAGTGATGAGACAGACCAGAGAAACATTTTGAGTATTAAGAGTGCCGGAGGGAAGCATTATGTCCCAAGGCCTAGATTGCTCTGAGTTGCCATATCAGTCCTGCTGTAAACCAGTTTTGAGCAAAGGTCTGGTTTTGCTACTTAGGCCAGAACCACTCAGGCTGATGCACAATGGGCCTTCAGTGCTGCAGTTCTCTTGGCCACAGTGTTGGGATGGCAGCTCAACTGTCCAGCAGAGATGGAACAAACAGGGAGATTCTGCGTAGGCAGTGTAACTTCAGTTTTTTACTCCCAGCTGTTTAACAGCAGCATGTTCCACATGTTGCCTCTCATCCTTCTGCTCCAGGGCTACAGACTGCCATTGCTTGACTCTTTTTGTGTCTTCTGACAAATCTTCCCTTCTCTCCGTTGCCCCAATTGGTCTCCCTCGCCTTCCACTATTTTTGCTTTTCATTTATATTCTTTTTTTTGGCAGAGGAAGATGTTTCTCTAGTGGGAGCAGCCTTCTCTGCTCAGGCCAGCAGGAGCAAGAGACTGTCTGGATTTAAATAGCATCATGCGCCCAGTAGCTACAAACCTTTCTATAAAACATTTGGGTGCGGGTGTGTGGAGTAGAGAGCAGAATGGTGACTCCCGAGACACATTCAAGTTGACTGCACAGCCCGGTGTAATGCATTTGTTGCAGAAGCAAACTCCCAATTGTTTCCTGAATGCAAGAGGGGCATTTGCAAAAGACAGGTGCTTTAGCTGCTTCATTTTTTATATGCCCATTTGTTGCTGCTGCAGTTGTTGCTTTTGCCCAAATTCACTGCCTCCGAAAAAAGACTTTCTTTCTCAGTGTGGCCTAAGTGACAGGCCTGACTTGTCTCTGTTTTTCTAGGTTTGACTGGTTGTGTGCTTTATGCCCAGAATAATGGCCATGTTCGGGTTTTTGCTTACCTTTTTTCCAACCGTGTTGGAAACTGCCTGGTTCCTTGTTTGAAAGCAAACTTGAAGGCGGATGGGTGGGGTGGGGTTGATGAATGAGATTGTGTAGAAGCTGAGCCCAAACCAGACAGGACAGCAGCAGAGCTGTGTGTATAAATCCAGATCTGATGCAAACCCCTAGAAACCAGGGGTAGAGTCAAACTTTTAAGGCAAAAGGAGGGAGCTAAACGAACAGCTAGTGCCCTGATTAGGGGGCTAGATAACTTTCTGCAGGGGGTTGAGCCCTGGGGAGAGTTACGGCTTTGGTACACATCACTCATATGCCCCTTTTGCTCCATAAATTGGATCGCCACACCTGCTTGACTTTCAGCATCTTCGTTACAGATCCAAGTTTAAACATATGGTTATGTCACAATCACAGCTAATTTGGCACTGGCTTGAGAGCTGGGTGGGATGGCAGGCAGGCAGTGGGGACATCTCGACCCTTCTGTGACAATAACCCATTTGTACAGCAGCATGCTCTAAGCTGCCAGTGCACAGGCTGCATGATATCACAGGCCCAAACCTGGCCAGCCCCCTTGTCTCCAAATGATAGGTGTGCCTGCCAGGATAGACTTGTGCATGGGAATGACTCCATTTTACTTTGAAACCTCCACTGTTGTATAGGACTTTCTCTGGCTCAACTGCATTATATACTAGCCCATTAGATCAGTGCTTCACCATCATTCATGTCCGTAGAACATGAGACTCCTAATCTATGATTCTGCAAAGTCCCTAGGAGTAATGGAGTGAGATTTCTCTCATGGGCTGCTGTGCTCAGAACCTGGGATGAGGCTGCCCAATTTTTTTTACTTAGGAGCTAAGTAAAAGCCGCAAGAGAGCAAGCAGGAAGGAGAAGTATTAGGTGATCTGCATACAAATCAGAATTGCCATGCCTTTTTTCTAGCAGGACTCCTGTGCGCTGAATTACTGCCTGTCTCACAGCTCTTAAGCAGGTGAAACTTTCCTAGCATGCTGGTGCTGTAATTGGGAAAGCTGTTCCCAAGCTACTCTGTCGCTGTTATAAGAGGTTTGCCTCTTAGATTTCTGCTGTCCATGCAACTGTCAAAAGGCCCAGTAGGTGTCGGGAGAGAAGGTAGAAGAAGCCCTGTTTCCATCTTCAAGGCCTGTTTTGAACAGGGCAGATCTAGGTTGCCCATTGCTGTTTGAGAAACAGAAAAGGCACCTTTGGATTTGATATCCTGCCTTTCACTCCCTTTAAGGAGTCTCAAAGCGGCTAACATTCTCCATTCCCTTCCTCCCCCACAACAAACACTCTGTGAGGTGAGTGGGGCTAAGAGACTTCAAAGAAGTGTGACTGGCCCAAGGTCACCCAGCAGCTGCATGTGGAGGAGCGGAGACACGAACCCGGTTCCCCAGATAACGAGACTACCGCTCTTAACCACTACACCACACTGGCTCTCTTGCGATTATAGCTAAATAAAAAGATTTATATTAGAAGCTTACCTGCAATTACTATCCAGGAAGTAAATCCCATTAAAAGCAGTGGGAATTATGCCCAGGTAAATCTGCTTCCCAGAATTTCCTTTTCTTAGCTGAAGATCATTTATACACCTTGCCACAGATAAAAAATGCCTATAACAGCATTCCTTCTAATATATAGAGGCTGCATAGGGACTTCATAGAGTAAGTCTCCATTCCTGCCCCCATGAAGCAAAAGCCCAGCATCAGAGGCAGCACAAAGGCTTGGCTACATCTGTGTCTCTAGGGTAAGCTGCCCACTTGTTACTCACATGTATGTAAGAAAGGCAAACTAGATAGAGTGGCCTAATGCAAATGAGGCAGGACAGTGGCACCTATAAGAGTTGTGCAGCAACTTAGACCTGCTGAAATCCCTCTTGTGTCCAGCTATTAATGGTTGTGGGGCTCTGTCTTCTTTTGCATCTGACTACCTTGGGGACGCGGGTGGCGCTGTGGGTTAAAGCCTCAGCGCCTAGGACTTGCCAATCGAAAGGTCGGCGGTTCGAATCCCCGCGGCGGGGTGCGCTCCCGTTGCTCGGTCCCAGCGCCTGCCAACCTAGCAGTTCGAAAGCACCCCCGGGTGCAAGTAGATAAATAGGGACTGCTTACTAGCAGGAAGGTAAACGGCGTTCCGTGTGCTGCGCTGGCTCACCAGATGCAGCTTGTCACGCTGGCCACGTGACCCAGAAGTGTCTGCGGACAGCGCTGGCTCCCGGCCTATAGAGTGAGATGAGCGCACAACCCTAGAGTCTGGCAAGACTGGCCCGAACGGGCAGGGGTACCTTTACCTTTACCTTACCTTAGGACTAGTTTATTAAAAATTGGTCACTCTGCTTTTAGTTCACCCAGGGCCGCAGAGAGGAAAGGTTAAACGCTGACGCCACCACCAGTGCAACAGTCTAATTCATGACCATTTCTGCTTGGTGTTCAGTGGAATATGTTGGCAGATCCAACCACAAATTTGCCAGTCAATCCCATACAGCCTAGAACTCTCTGCTGAGAGGTGGTTTCCAGAGTCTCAGGCAGAGTACAAAAAAATCCCCACCTTCAATGTAAGAATTAACAGGCAAAGCATCAGTCAGCTGGTGGGATGAGATACGTCTATTTGGCTGGATGAACACCATGCTGCTTGAGTGTACGTACAGTAAAATACAGTATATTAATGTGTAGTCCCATGTAGAAATTTTTTAATGTGTTTGGCAACCCTGAGATCCTTTTAACTGGGGAGTGAACTTCAACCTTATCTATGCAATACAGATTATCTTTCATTGCTTTAGCTTCTCTCATGTGCGGCCACGGAAGAGTCTGTAGCGTTATTCTCCACACTGCAGCCTTTTATTATGGAAAGAAAAGACACCCTTTAAGTGTATTGCCTCAGTGTAGTAGTAAATGCAGCAGCCCAATTTCAGAAGCAGTTTGTGCCATGCACAGTCACCTGCCCACTTTTTAAAAAACAGGCGAAGGAAAAAACGGACATGTTAGTGAACAAGTGATGAAGATACAGGGAGCCATAAAGCAATCCCCAGTTTAACTGGAGAGAGTTAAATTCAATTTTTTAAAAACTGGGTTGTGGATTGTTTAAAAAATCAATTGTTTTTTCCAGGGGCTGGGGGTTCTTGGAAGCTGTCCAAAGAGGAAACAAGCACATGCATAAGAGGAATGGTCAGTCTTTCTTGGTGTTTTGAGGTTTCGCAGAAAATTGTGAGACAGTAAATTGTTTTTGCAGACTGTGTCTGCACCTTTTGATGTTGCTTGTGGCCTGCAACTGTATTAGTTATTCTGTTCCAGGAGCCAGTCCTGTCGCCTGTGACAGGTTTCAGAGGCAGAGGGTTGGAATGTTGAGTAATCGTAGCACAGAAGAGGGTGTGTGTGTGTGTGTACACACATGGACTAAGTCATGTGGTTACAAAAGAGGACTGGCTTAAATAAAGGCAACACACCACTCTGAAACTGGACTGGTGAGCTCCCATCCTCCAGAAGCTGGCAGGATTGCAAGGCTCCAGCTTTGTGGGTAGGTTTACAAACCTTTCCTGTACCCTTTGGGGACTATCTGCCTTTAGCAACATTTGGCAATGCACATCATTGCTCCAAATAATCTCACACACGTCTGTTGCAGGATGTGTAGTCATATTGTCCCTAAAATAGTCATTTGAAAACTTGATGTGAGTAGTAGAGAACTGGTGATTCTGCAACATCCAGCACTAGCTATGTCAGTGAATAGGTGACATGAAGAACTGTCTGTCTGCCTTGGTAAGATTGCTTGGCTCATCCTCCAGTGCAGCAGAACTGAGCTAATGACACATCTGAAGCTATGCCCACGTAACTTGGAGGAAGCCCTGCTGACTGCAGTGGAACTTAACATCTGAGTGAATATGTACAGGGTCAGGTTTCTGGTGTATTAGAGGATAGGGCCTCCTTATCCAAATGAGTCTCTTTCATGTAGTATCAATAGTCAGGCATCTCTATGCTATTATCTGTGCTGGGTTTCTTCAACATTTCCCACAGGTAAGAAATTGGAGCCACTCGAGTCCTCAGAGAAGGGAGCAGCAGGCCCACATCTGCCAGAAGGAGAGGAAAGGTTAATACTTCATTGAATGCTGTGGCTCGTTTCTGAAAGGGGGAAGGTTGTGTATGCCTCACAAACAGGCAGTGAAGTTGAGGTGTGGAACCCCAGAATGTGACTCAGTTGAAGGGACTCACCTTAATCCAGCACGAATGCTATCACAGGTTTCTCCCATCCTATTATCAAGTGCCGTAGCTGGCTGCATTTGAGGAAGGGTGGTCGGGTCCAGTGCTGTGGTGTGAGTAAGCGGTTCCTTACCACTACATCCTTGGAACCTATGAAGTTACCTTTGCCTAGTCACATGCTAATGTAGCAAACCTCGAGGCCTCCTGTCTTAGCCGCTTCTCTTTTATGGAGGCAAAGTGCCTGTGAGTTGGGTATGGTGTCTTTGGGAAGCTCTGGTCTTTTGTCTTTCCCTTGGCTGTTGCCCTCTAGGAATGTGCCAGAGTTATGTATCTTCTTGTTATATTTATTGCTATGACCGTGCCTTGAATAAAGTTACTTCGCCCAGCTGGTGCCTGGGGTTGAGCTGCACATGTTGACGCAGAGTGATGCTAACTCAAAACAGGAGGTGAAGGAGGCCCTTGCCAAGCATATCAGAAACCTGAGAGGTCCCCTTTTGCTTTTGTTCAATGAGAGAGCAAGGTCTTGGGCGTAATGAGAATCAAAGCTCAAGTAGTTTAGGTGGTGTGATAGCCACCTTCAAATAGCCAAAGGGCTGTCACGTGGAAGATGGAACAAGCTTGTTTTCTGCTGCTGCAGAGGGTAGGACCCAAACCAATGGATTCAAACGACAAGAAAGGAGATTCTGTCCAAGCAATAGAAAGAGCTTTCTGACAGAGCTGTTCAACTGTGGTACAGACTCCCTCAGAAGGTGGTGGACTCTCCTTCCTTGGAAGTTTTTAAGCAGAGGTTGGATGGTCATCTGTCAGGGATGCTTCAGTTGTAATTCCTCACATTGCAGGAGGCTGGATAAGATTGCCCCCAGGAGCCCCTCCAACTCTGTATCAAAAACAGTTTAAAACAACTTGAAATCACAAAAATAAGGTGAGTCCTGAAAATATACACCTCAAGTGTCAAAAGGCAGGCTGAAGAGTTGCATCTTCCGCATCCTCTGGAAGCTGTATGATGAAGGTGTTGGACACACCTCTGTGGGAACCGAGCTCTGCAGATTAGGGGCTGCCACAGAAAGTGCCCTATTCCAAGCTGCCACTACCCCAAGCCTCTGAGAGCAGAGGAACTCCCAAGAGGGCCCCCTCTGCCAATCTCAGCACCCGATGGTCTGTAGCAAAGGAGCCTGTCTTTCAGCTGTTTGGCCAGTGCATCCCTAGTCAAACTAAGAAATAGTATTTTTTTAGCTTCTGATAACCTCACTCCCACCCAGGACAAGTCCCCACCTCTCTGGTAATGAGAAAGGATACCTGCTGCTGCTGCTGTTGTAGGCAGCCATCTGCCTCGACAAACTCCTGCTCCGGTTACTATGGAAATGGGAGCTCCCACAAAGCTAGCTTCCTCCTGCCAGGATTCTTATGCTTAGTATAAAACCACAGGGATGGTAAATTTCCCCCCACTTTCAGAGGAACTCTTGCGGTTCTAGTCACCTGGCCCTGACCCAGGAGAACTTCCAGACATCCACCCACACCTGCAACCTTCTCAATGATGGCAATGGAGGATGGCAAAAAGGGTGATGAGGCCACTTACACATGACTAAAAGGGCACGTGCTAATTTGTATGTAAAGATGCAGATTCAGAAATACCGTAATTACAACAAGTGAAATGCAATACAACTGACTGCAGTGGGGAGTGACTGTGACCCTGTGATCGGTGTGCCTTTTTAGTCTTTCCAGAGGAGAGAATAGCTCATATAAGAAACCCTCCAGGATCAAACACAAAGAACCATATAGTCCAACATCTTGTTCTTACCATGACTGAGTGCATGAGTTTCTTAAGCAGGACATTCTCCCCACTCATGTTCCCCAACAACTAGTATTCAGAAGCATATTGTTTCCAATATTGAAGGTTGTACACAGCCATGGTGAGTAGCTGTTGGTAACGAATGAATTTGTCTAATTATGTTTCAAACCTAAGCAGGTTGGTTGCTATCACTACATCTTGTGATAGTGGATTCTGTGCTGTGTGGTGAACTTCCTTTTTTTCTGTCCTTAATCTCCCAGCATTTTAGTTTCATCGGATGAAGTACTAAGAAGCAGAAAACCTTCCCTTTCTCCACACCAAACATAATAATACACACGCTTCACCCCAATTCACCTTTCTTCTAAACTGAAAAGTCCCAAACATTGCAACCTTTAGTCATAGGGGACTTGCTTCATCAACCCCTTATCGTTTGAGCTCCCAATTTCTGCATCTTTTGCAGCTCTGCAAGGCAACCAGAACTATTCCATATTGGTTCGACCACAGAATTTGTATAGCGGCTTTATGTATAGCATAAAACTTGCATAGCAGTCTTTCCAGACTGTTCCCAAGCCAGAATTCACCTTATTCACAGCTGCCGCACACAGGACTGACATGTCTAAGAGAGTGTTGAGATTATACTCCTCTCACGCTGCTACTTTCCCAAGTAAGTGAAATATAACAATTTTTTGCTTTGCAGGAGACCCACAACACCCCAAATAGGTCTGAGATACAGCAACACCATGTTTTTTATTTCTTTTGGAATGCAACAAAATATGGCACACACAAAACGTGAAGAGAGCTGTGAAAAGCTTACAAAGTGCCCAGCTTAATACGCATGGGGTTGGGGTAAGCTATCCCCTTTCTCCTTGGCATTTAATTTTCTAGGTGCAGCAAATGTTTTTGTATGGAGAACCATTTCATAAGTCTACCCTCCCTGCCGGAGTCTGAAGCAGTGGAACCCAGAAATAGGCTTATCCCCTGCTGCTTCAGAGAACTAGGCCTCAGTCACAATGGTTGTAAGACCAGCTTGCAGTTATATAACGTCATGGGACACACAATTGTTTAATACAAAGCTCTGCAAATAATTTCAAAAACCTTAGTTTGAGGATTCAGGTTCTCTTTTCTAGACAGCATGAAATCAGTGCATTTAAACGCAGTTCTTACATTTGTGCAGGAAGAATGTGACCATGTCTGGGTCATTAATATTTTTTTTCTCAATTGCTACTTCCGTGAAGCAACTTTCTGTTTGCCTCTAGGAATTTTAAGTTTTATCCAGCTATTAGCACTCTCGCCACCACCATCATTCACAATAAGTTTAGGGTGAGGGATAACAAAGGAATCTGATCTTCCACAAACCTAGAGCTGTTTGAAAGTGTCCTCCTGAGATTGGGGTATTTGAGCAGGGAGGAAGAAGGGATAAATTATCAGAGGAACTAGAGCCTCTGTATCCTCCCCACCTGGGTTGTGAGTATACAAAATATGTCACTTTCAATACACACCCTCCCCCCAAAAATAAAAACATTGAGAAGGTTTGATCCCACTAGGCTAGTGCTCAACACCTAGGGAAGAACTAGAATGAGAGGGGGGAAACCTAGAATTATTGGCTCCGCCTACAGTTGGGCCTCTCTGCTTTCTGGCCCAATGGGCACCAGCCATCCCTGCTGGCATTGCCCCTTTTGTGCAGCTCTCAGCACGTTTCAAAATAGCTGTCCCTAGGCTGCTTTGGAATTTAAATATAGAGACATGATGGAAAACTCAGAAAAAGAAATTGCTCACAAAACAGAAAAAGGCATGCACCTCCCGACAAACACTGCAACAAACTCAAACACATCTCTGAACTAAGCTTTGACACACAACGGGTTCCCCTCATACGTGAACCAAATTCACGATCACGAGTGGGCAGTTGTTGGCACTTCGTATGGAAGCTCACATATCGTATATAAATCACAAGATATGACTGGGTAGGACTTGCATTTGGTCTGTTGGTCATGCGTAAAGCACAAGCAAAAAAATGGCTTCCCAGAGGCCCAGTAAATTGCTTGTCACTAGTTCTACTGGGACAGGGAGCTCCAGCCATGGGCCTAATTAGGGCTCCCAGGCCTAGACAGTTGGGCCTGCTAAACTGTTTTAGGTGAACTTTAGCTACCTTTCAGGGGCCCAGTGTCAACCACTGGTCGTTCTCTACCAATGGTGACAGTGGGACCATTCACACTGCCTAATCAGTTTTCCTAGGCCACCTATAAGATAGCAGATTACATGAACCACAACAACCCCTGTCAGTCATGAAGAAGAACTGTCCATACCAGGACAATGCACACCCCCTCTGCCTCCTCTCGATACAACCAGACCACCCCTGGCCCACCTCAAGTTTTCCTAGGGGCCTTATCTGCACCTAGATTGAAAAGCAAGGGGCGGGGAGTTTTAAATGTTCATCCACCACACCAAAATTTTTCTTGTCTAGGTTTCCTACTCCCACCCCCAGATGGGTTCCAAAACAACCCCAAGAACTAAGTTGCTTTCATTAAGATTTGGGCAAAGAGCAAAGGAGGATTCTGTCAAGCACCTGGAAGGCTGTACCAGAAATGCGTGAGGAGGGGAGGAATGGCAGCAAACAGTTGCCCAGAAATGGATTTTATTCTACAGACTCTCCTTTGGCCAGAATCCAGGATGAATTTTGGAAGCTTTCCCCAGGATAAAAGCCGCATCTGTCACTAATTTCACTACAAGATTTTATTTCCACATGCTCACGGAACTGGCAGCTGCTGCATTCCCACTGGCTTTCAAGTTCTAACTTGTGGCCAAGCATTTCAAAATCCAACCATCTAGCAGCTCAGGCATACAAACAGGAGCCTTGCTGTAGAATTACCCCACTTTAAAAGGCAGGGGGAAGCTACACTGCTTGGATAATCCCAAGGAAATGCACACACTCCTGCTTAGCTTCACTGAAACAATCGCAGGCTCACAATCTCAAGGGGGGAAAGCTAGTACAATCATCCTTCTGTGCTAAGAAATCTTTGTAATTACTCTTCGAAAGGCAATGGGGAAATAAAGAGAATGATAACATGCCTTTTGGAAGGAAAGCCGCTAGCTGCAGTTGGCATTTCAGCTTTTAATTCCTGCTTGGCTCTCTTTTGCCCCCTGCAAACAGATACGTGGAACTGCAACACTGAAATAGGGGAGCGTCATCACATTACCACAAGAAAGATGGGGAATGCAAGAGTAAAACGAGAAAGAGAGACAGAAATGTTGAGATTACTCTGAAATACACAGAGCTAGAAAGGCAAGCTTGCTTTCTCCTCGTAGCTGTTCCCACTCAAGCATCCTGGGTCCAGGTTTATTCCACTTTTCTGGGAACATCCCAGCCGCAGCTCATGGCTTTTACCACAATGCTGTACAGCTTGGTCCAGGCCTCACGCACATTCACATTGAAAGCGGGGCCGTGGCATTTTTCCAGCATATACAGCAAGGATTCGCCCACAGCCTGCAAATCAAACAGGAGACAGCAGAATCAGCATTCAAACAGAAGCAGCTCTTAAGGAAGGGGTGGGGGTGATTTTCTACTATCTAAAAAATGGAACTTTACTTTCAGAGTGATGGTGGAGGCACACGCCCTCCAGGTTCCAGGTTCTCAATTTGGCTCTTACTGGCGCTGTCAACCATTATTTATCCCCCGTTTGCCTAACAATAGCCTACCTTGCTTTTTACTTCTCTGCCTCAGAGGATCTTGCAAGTTTTGTTTGGAGCTGGAGGCTGAGCTGAGTAATGGCTAATGAATTTTTCAGAAAGCTAATCCCATCCAGTCTGTAAATCTCCTCCAGGACTTACGACTATCTCAACTGCAGACGTCGTAGCTCTTATGTCACCCCAACTTTCCTTCTGCCATGCACCCCTTTCCTTCATCCACCCAGGTCTAAAACAGCTCAGAAGTCTGCTCACTAATTTTGTGACTTATTCAGACCATGTGACTCTCCCCTCTTAACTCTCTCCACTGGTTTCCCATCCACTCTGGGATCCTGAGCAAGTTTTTCGTCCTCTCAAAACCCTCCATGACCTTGTTCCTCCTCCTCAATCTGTACTGATTTCCCAACATGTCCCTTCCTGCAACACAAACCTGGAAAGCTGAGGGAAGAATTCAAAGCAAGTCAACAGTGCCACAGATACATCTCAAAACGAAAAGGCTCCTTACCGAAAAAGACTCCACCTTCACACCAACTGCCTGGTGTTTCTTACCCAGGTTGGCAAGGTATTCTTCCAGGCACTGCAAGTTCTCCAAATGAGTCACGGCTGCATCTATTACCAGCATTACCTACCAAGCAGACAGAACGACAAACAGGACAATCTGGTGTGTCCTTATGGAAGTAAAGGCACTCTAAAAGCCTTCTGCAAATGTTATAGGAGACTGAAAGGCTTGTTCTGGATATCTCCATAAGCCTAAGAGCTCAGGTCAAGATGAAAGGGCATGCTTGAAGAAAATCTGTATTTAAATACCATTTATATCTGTCTATTACACCAATCCTGCCATTTAGGGCCTCCAGCAAATGTTACAAAACCCTTATGCAGAAAGCAAGGAAAAACCTGGAAACCAAACCCAAATCACCTGTGTGTTGATCTCCCATACACTTACCTCTTCTAGTAGCGTTTACACATGTTGAAAAGCTACAACAGCCAGTGTGGCCTGTCGAAACAGATTGACATGGTTGTCCATGCAGTTGTCATGCATGACTCTCAAGGGACACATCACAGTGACACATTATCCTGCAGACTGGTGCTACAAGAAACCTTACTACCCAATTTTAAATTCAACCCTCCTGGCTGCTCTGCCATTCTTCCCACCTGCATGAGTTTTGATTTTGGCAGAGGGGAAATCACAGCCATATAACTAAAGCTGATTTCCTTGGTAACAAGCCCCCTTGATATGAATGGGATTTACTTCCTAATAGGTGCGTGCCCAGGGACGCGGGGGGCGCTGTGGGTTAAAGCCTCAGCGCCTAGGGCTTGCCGATCGAAAGGTCGGCGGTTCGAATCCCCGCGGCGGGGTGCGCTCCCGTTGTTCGGTCCCAGCGCCTGCCAACCTAGCAGTTCGAAAGCACCCCCGGGTGCAAGTAGATAAATAGGGACCGCTTGCTAGCGGGAAGGTAAACGGCGTTCCGTGTGCGGCTCTGGCTCGCCAGATGCAGCTTGTCACGCTGGCCATGTGACCCGGAAGTGTCTCCGGACAGCGCTGGCCCCCGGTCTCTTGAGTGAGATGGGCGCACAACCCTAGAGTCTGTCAAGACTGGCCCGTACGGGCAGGGGTACCTTTACCTTTACTAGGTGCGTGCCCATCGGTGATTTTGTAGCCAAATTCAATAGGGAAAGTCTGCCACTGGCAATTAGCTATGATAGCTAAAAATGGAGCTTCCGTACCCAGAGAGAGTATAGATCTGATTACCAATTAATGGAACAAGCAAGAAGGGGTGGTTCTGCTGTGCCCTGCTTGTAAAAGTCCTTAAGGAAATCAGTTTTGGAGCAGATGAGGGTGAACTAGCTGGTGTTTAATCCAGACAAAATAGAGGCAATGGGTAGTTGAGGGTTTGGTGTTAGAAGCGCTGGTGTTCTGTTTCTTTTGCACATAGTTGCACTCCTTTAAAAGTCAGCCACAGCTTGGGAGTACTCCAAGACCCAGCCTGCCAACTGGATGATCTTGTGGCTGGAAGTACCTTTTTTCAGCATGTGGGTCAGCTGCATCCTTCCCTTGAAAAGCCAGGAGTAGCCAGCTATTCATGCCGCGATCACTTCCAGATTGGATTACTCTAATGTGCTCCATGTGGCTCAGCCTTTGTAGATCATAAGCTTTGACTGGTCCTGAATGCAGCTGCCAGAATGTTTACAAGACCTGGCTTCAGTACAGCAACTACCAATTCATTTCTGGGCTCAATCCTAAGTGTTCGTTTTAACTTTTAAAGGCCCAGTTGACCTGTTACTAGAGCGTCTGGAGAATTCTTTCCACCCGCATGCCTAACCTTTATGATCATCTACAGACCCTCCAAGTGTCCCTATTTTTCAGGGGCAGTCCTGGATTTACAGAAGCTGTCTCAGTTTCTGATTTGATCCTGCTTTTCCTTTGTTGTTTTTTAGTCGTGTCTGACTCTTCGTGACCCCATGGACCAGAGCACACCAGGCACTCCTGTCTTCCACTGCCTCCCGCAGTTTGGTCAAACTCATGCTGGTAGCTTCGAGAACACTGTCCAACCATCTCGTCCTGTGTCGTCCCCTTCTCCTTGTGCCCTCCATCTTTCCCAACATCAGGGTCTTTTCCAGGGAGTCTTTTCTTCTCATGAGGTGGCCATAGTATTGGAGCCTCAGCTTCAGGATCTGTCCTTCCAGTGAGCACTCAGGGCTGATTTCCTTAAGAATGAATAGGTTTGATCTTCTTGCAGTCCATGGGACTCTCAAGAGTCTCCTCCAGCACATCCCTATTTTCATCAGAGAAATGTTGGAGGGCAAGGATCTACTGAGGCTCTTGTTGGATGTCTCCTGACCTACTTGAGTCTGAAGCCTAGCAGGTGGCTCTAAGGGACAGGGCCTTTTCAGTGTTGGGATACAGACAGTTGAACACTCTGCCAAAAGAGGCTCACCTGGCCCCATGGCTGCTTGCTTTTCAACAAAGCAGCTAAGACTTTCCTTCTTCACCAGACTTTTTAAAGATAGTGTTTTCTGAGGCTGATCTTTGACTGCTACTGGTTTCTGCACCAACGTCATCCTCTTCTTTGCTTGTCCAACAGACTGTTTGTTTCAACTAAATTTTAGCTCCTCTCTTCACAGTTTGTACTCTGCCACCCTATTTTGCAGAAAGGCAGGACAAAAATGCTGAAAAATAAATAAAACCTGACTAGCCACCCTTGGGGGTGGGGGAGAGCTAGACTAAACTTGTTCTCTTTTAATCTGACAATCTAAACACCCTATCAAACCACCTCATTTATTTTATTTCTATATTTGTATTTCTTTCCTGACTTTCCAACAAAGCATTGTCCAATGCAGCTAATGAAAAGAAAATTCATCAAAAGGGACAAAGTAAAACAAATTAAAAACATGTCATAATCAAACACCAAACACCAGGCATGCAGCAGAAAACATTCTATTAAAACCAGCCCACAGCTAGGTCAAAAGTCAGTCAGAAAAGAAAAGTTGTTTATACCCCTGTAGGGTCCCTTGTCTCAATATTTTCTTAGCACTCCCTTGGAGTTAAGCTCATACTTGTCCTTCCTGCTTGCTCTGCTAAGCTAAATCTAATTTAAATGTGATTAAACTCATTCCTAATCTAATACAGTTAATAGATTTATATTAGTTTTTTAAATGCATTTTCTGCACGCAGAAAAGTAATCAGGATAGATTCATGCACACGACTTTCCACCCCAGGTAATTTTTTTACAGGTACCTCTTAGACAACAGTGGTCCTTCATGTCATACAAGTAGTTCAGATCATCAAAACACATGGAATGCACTGTTGTTGTTGTTGTTGTTGTTTAGTCGTTTAGTCGTGTCCGACTCTTCGTGACTCCATGGACCAGAGCACGCCAGGCACTCCTATCTTCCACTGCCTCCCGCAGTTTGGTCAGACTCATGTTTGTGGCTTCGAGAACACTGTCCAACCATCTCGTCCTCTGTCGTCCCCTTCTCCTTGTGCCCTCAATCTTTCCCAACATCAGGGTCTTTTCCAGGGAGTCTTCTCTTCTCATGAGGTGGCCAAAGTATTGGAGCCTCAACTTCACGATCTGTCCTTCCAGTGAGCACTCAGGGCTGATTTCCTTCAGAATGGATGCGTTTGATCTTCTTGCAGTCCATGGGACTCTCAAGAGTCTCCTCCAGCACCATAATTCAAAAGCATTAATTCTTCGGCAATCAGCCTTCTTGATGGACCAGCTCTCACTTCCATACATCACTGCTGGGGGAACCATGGCTTTAACTATACGGACCTTTGTTGGCAAGGTGATGTCTCTGCTTTTTAAGATGCTGTCTAGGTTTGCCATAGCCTTTCTCCCAAGGAGCAGGCATCTTTTAATTTCGTGACTGCTGTCACCATCTGCAGTGATCATGGAGCCCAAAAAAGTAAAATCTCTCACCGCCTCCATTTCTTCCCCTTCTATTTGCCAGGAGGTGATGGGACCAGTGGCCATGATCTTCGTTTTTTTGATGTTGAGCTTCAGACCATATTTTGCGCTCTCCTCTTTCACCCTCATTAAAAGGTTCTTTAATTCCTCCTCACTTTCTGCCATCAAGGTTGTGTCATCTGCATATCTGAGGTTGTTGATATTTCTTCCGGCGATCTTAATTCCAGCTTGGGATTCATCCAGTCCAGCCTTTCGCATGATGAATTCTGCATATAAGTTAAATAAGCAGGGAGACAATATACAGCCTTGCCGTACTCCTTTCCCAATTTTGAACCAATCAGTTGTTCCATATCCAGTTCTAACTGTAGCTTCTTGTCCCACATAGAGATTTCTCAGGAGACAGATGAGGTGATCAGGCACTCCCATTTCTTTAAGAACTTGCCATAGTTTGCTGTGGTGGACACAGTCAAAGGCTTTTGCGTAGTCAATGAAGCAGAAGTAGATGTCTTTCTGGAACTCTCTAGCTTTCTCCATAATCCAGCGCATGTTTGCAATTTGGTCTCTGGTTCCTCTGCCCCTTCGAAATCCAGCTTGCACTTCTGGGAGTTCTCAGTCCACATACTGCTTAAGCCTGCCTTGTAGAATTTTAAGCATAACCTTGCTAGCATGTGAAATGAGTACAATTGTGCGGTAGTTGGAGCATTCTTTGACACTGCCCTTCTTGGGGATTGGGATGTAGACTGATCTTCTCCAATCCTCTGGCCACTGCTGAGTTTTCCAAATTTGCTGGCATATTGAGTGTAGCACCTTAACAGCATCATCTTTTAAAATTTTAAATAGTTCAGCTGGGAAGTACTAGGCACCAATTAATATTTCCCCATTCCCTGGCAGTGTAGAATAAATAATAGCTTATTATAATTTTACTGACTTTGTGTTAAATGATACTTCTTGGTGAAGAGGATACACAAAGGGCTGTTGGGGCAGAGCAAGAGAGTTTTGAAGCTGCATTTGTTGACTACAGTTTTTACACCAAACTTCTTCCAAGCATCTCAGGAAAATGTGCAAGGTCACCTGTATACCATTTGATCCCCTGTATACCATTTGATCCCATCTGAGAGAGAACAACTGGCCCAGATTTACTCAACAAGCTCCTTTCACCCCAAGAGCTTCATGGAAGAGTAGAGATTTGAACCCAGCCCTCCCAGGCCCTAGCCAAACACGCTAAGCAGGATACTCCACTGCCACTTGCCAGCATAGCCTTTGCTATAGTTGAAGACAATTACCAGAAGGACTCCTTTACACCTCTCACCTTTCTAATGTGTTCCAGGAACTCAGGTGATGAGAGGCACTCCTGAGGAGTAGAGAACTTCCTGCAGTTGTACTGGAAAAGGGGCAAGAGGTCAGGGTCCAAATCAAAAAGCCTGAAAGACATCAACCCAACAATTATTTGGCCTCCATACAAATCGGGCAGACATCCCATCCCATCTCTCTTTCCCATCCTCATGGAACATCTTAGCTCCTGGGGAGGCCCAAGAAAGCAAGCCAGTCACAGGACAAGGCTGATGTCAGGGGAGGAAAGGATGTATTCCTCATCTCTTGTACAGCCTCCCCTCATGCCCCCCCCCTGCCTTCAGGGAAACAAACCAGGTACAACAGAGGACAAGGAGTGGTACTCAACTAGGTTTTATTCCAAAAGTAGACCTACTGAAATGAATAGGCTTTAGTAATATTCATTAATTCCAATAGGTATACCCAAGGCATTTTTCTTCTCTTGGTACAACTTCCCCTGTCCCTTTACAGTTGGTTTCTGGGAAAGAAAAATGGAGACCCAGCACAACTCTCAGGCACTATCTCTGTTGTCTTTTCGGTGCCTGCTGAAAATGTTCCCCTATCAACAAGCATTTCAGGTAGCAATCTTTCCCAATCTCCATCTGTATTGGACTTGTTTTAAACAAATGTCAAAATGCTTTAATTGTTTTATTACTACTTCCCAGTCACTTGAGCTCTCCCTGCGAGCACAGCCTGTCCAGGAGGGGAAGGCAATGCAAATGGGGGTCTGCCACCGCCCCTTTCCCCTTGCTCATCTCATGGTGCTCTTATGCTTGGAGTGGGACTGAAGCCAGTTTCTCAACTGAGCATGTAGAAACGTCCCACTCAAATATGTGTTTAAGAAATGGGGAAGGGTCCATTCATTCCTGGTATAAACAGCAATCTCCATTTATCGTGCTGTAGCATCACACTGCTAGATCGTAGCAATAATAGGGGGTCGAAGACTGGCAGTTTTAGAGAGGCAGAGACAGAAAGACACACACAGAGAGAAAGATGTGTGAAGTGACAAAGACCTGGATAGCAGAAAAATCTGAGAACATCATAAGCATTTTGCAAGAGCACTGGAAGATCGCCAGCACCAAGCTTTTCTCTGGAAAAAAAAAGCTGAGTTTAGCACACACCATTTACTCCACCACAGGCGCTGTAAGTTACCACCCTTGCGCAAAAGAGCATAAGAGGTGTTGAAAACATCCTCAGTTCTTCTCGTAGCAATGACTTGTTTTGTTGCCTGTTTCCAAACTCCCTTCGGTAGGATCTGTTCTGCCCTTCTGCGCCTCCCACCAACATACACACAGTCAAAATACCCACTAACCACAGTCTCTTAGCACAACATTCAAAGGGTCTTCACCTCCAGACTGCATTGAGATGAGACTCTCCCTTCTTCATTCCCCGACACAGCCCTCCTTGCCAGGTTGCATTTCACACATGCATGTCATCCCTGGTGCCCTTTCAACCCTGACTGCCTTCCTAAGCTCATCTCTCTGGTAATTCACCTCCTAGATTGACAGGAACCATTTTCCCCCTATTTATATGGTACACATCTCTCCTGACTAATAAGGATGAACGAGAATCTGTTGCAATATCGTTCCATATCCCGGCCTGAATTCTGCTCTCTGCTATTCGCTGAACAATTTTATACAGTGGTATAAAACATGTAACGGCAGCTCAAAGAATGGTTTGCTCCATGCAGGAACTCAAAACTCGCAATCCTTCAAAGTCAAGGTAGTGCAAGAGACTGGTGTCGTCCATCAGACAGGGGCTATAAAGCAGTTTGCAGCAAAATAAAAAATTGCAACAAAGACTTCATAATACTACCTGTCAGCATGAGGGGAATACCGGCCTACCTCAACAACATTTACAACAATCAGTAGGGTAGGCCAGTATTCTCCACATGCTGCAGAAGGGAGGCTGAGAGTTATGAAGTAAGTAAAAGAGATGAGATTTGAACCAGAGCGTTCCTCGCTCAAACTCTTAGCAGCTACGCCACGGAATGTAGACAGTCCATTTAGGCCATCATAGGCAATGGTCACTGGTAGGCTTGTACTTTGTCACTTTATCTGTTTTTTAAACAATCAACAACACATCTATGCTCATTGCAGTTGTAACATCCTATTAATAACTTTGTGTCATGCACAAGGTAGCTCTGTCACTGACTCTAGATAATTATTAAATAATTTAAACAGTACCAGGCTCACTCCATATCATTTGCTTTCCTCTATGATGAAAAATGCCTGTATTCCTAACCACAGCTTTCTGGATTTTAACTAGAGGATGGTTTGAATGCATAAGAGGGTGCATTTCTGACTGTTGACTTTCCACAGAAAGGAGTGTTTGCTAAAAAGCTCTCTTAAAAACAAACACAAAGCCTATGTTTGCAATGTTCGGCTAACCACCCCCTCTACATTTTTGTTGATACTCTCAACACACTTAAAGGGGTTAGTGAAGCAAGACATCTCTTTGGAGACACCAAGCCAACTCTTCCTCCACGAGTTTTGTTGTGTTACATATTCAATAGATAAACTAGCCTTAAGAACGATTTCCATCATATTGCACAATACAGTATAGAATTGTCTGGAAGGGTTCTAATTTCCTGGTTCCTGCTGAAAATACAGGTGCTACAATGACCATTTCAGCAATTGCTGGAAAAGTTTGCTGATTTTAAATTACATACCTTAGTTAACAATTTTACCTTTGAACTCTTGAAGAACCCATGTGAACACAATTCAGCCCTGCTAACCTGTCACTTTCTCCTTTGTCTACTCCTTCTGAAGCTTTGTGCATCCCTTCCAAACTTTTAAGCACCCTCTGATAATTTCGTCTTCGTATTCATTGAGTGGGTTTTACTGCATTTCGCCCAGAGAAACAAAGTTGTGTGTTTATTAATTAATGGAGGAGTACTACAGCTATTCAGTTTCCCATAAGGCATTTTTTACTGAGAAAACAATTCATTGTGGAAAAGGCAAATGGTGACTCGACCAACACAGATCCTGCAGCCATTTGTAGTATCAACACACACACACCCTTGGCAGAAAAGAAAGAAGCTTTGCTTCCATCCCTCACTGCCAATAGTCAGCCCCACCCCTGAAAAATTACTAAAGAATAATTTATCTTCCCGCAGGAGAAATCTCCTATAAACAGAGCAGAGAATTCCCAGAAGCTGTTTGCACACCACTTTAAAGGATACCTTACCTACATTGCATTGCCCATTTTATATTACCAGCTCCACCCATCCATATTCTACATGGGGAGCTGGAGTTGACTGTGTTGGACTCACTGGCAGAGGAAGAGGAGTGTGGGGGGAGCACCTTGCCCCCGGCAGTGAAATACTGGTGGGGTGCCATCGTAGCTGCCCCCCTGCCCGCGCTGAGCACCACGCCCGCAGGACGCATGCCAGCCCCGCCCCCACCTGCTCTCCGCCCCCCACCCCGGTGCCGGGGCATGAAGCTCTGCCACTGGTTGGACTTTGATTCTTAGAAACTAAAATCTAACAGTCCCGAAGTCAGACAAAGCAAGTGGAATTTCAATGGCCAGGCTGCCATCCACCACACACAAGCAGCAGATAAACAGTTCTGTTCTCTGTGTAGGAGAAGGGATCATAGCTCAGGGGTAGAGCATGCTGAAGGCTGGAGGTTCAATTTATTATGTCTGCAATTAAAAAGAAGAAAGGATCAGATAGGAGATGATGTGAGAGACCTCTGCTCAAGATCCTGGACAGCCACTGCCAGCCACGTGTCGACAAGTACACAAATGATCTGACCTTGTATGAAAGGCAGATCTAGGGGAGCACAACAGGTCTGGTCACACCAGGTGCAAAGCTTCTGGGACACTGCAACTATGACATCTAACAGAAGGTGAGGGGACACCGGATTTTGGCATTGCAAAGGGCACCCCTGAAATTTGAGATGCCAAGATCTGTCACTTGTATAGGGCAGCTTCCTAGGTTCAAAATCCCATTCTTCACACTATAGACTCTCCTTAGTCCATGTTGAGCAAGCCACGCTTACCTGCCTCGATCTTCCTGTCTATACAATGGAAAGTTAAAGAGTGGCTGGGAGCAGGTGGGTGAACATTGGCTGCGGAGCAGCCTCTGCACAAACTCCTCTGTGAATGGAGGAATAAAGTTTGTTGCTTCCTATAAAACCAAGCACGGCCTTCCAGAGGCTCAAAGCCTTTGTCCCATCTGTGTCTCCCAGCTCTGTACTCCTCAGCTTCAGGGTTAATGGCATGCACCCGGGCACTCAGCTGTTCTCTCGCATGCACCATTTCCTCTGCCCTGGGACTGATCCCGGAATGAATCAAGCCTCTCCCCAAGGGCCAGGCCTGGCCTTGGCTCCAGTGATTGCCATGTCACATGCAATTAGGAAGCCGCTCTGATACACTCTGCAGAGCTGAGGACTGTGGAGCTACTCCCTGATTGAGAGAAAACTCTCATCTGCCACAACGACAAGAAGATATCAGAGGGAAGACTTAGAGCTCACACAACCTTCTTCCTGTGTTCTTGGCCTGTTTTTTTAAACAGCTGGCTGGCCTTTAATCCTCATGGAGTTTCATATGAAAATCACATCAATACTTGCACCCTTCGAACCCATAGAGGTGCTATGTTGCCCAAGCTTACGCCAAAGTAAGCCTTCACAGGCTCTTTTCTCTGTCTGGACTCATCTAACGCTTCATTTTCTGAAATGAAAAAAGTCCTGCTGGAACTCAAGCCTGTCTAGGAGTCCCCTCTTTCTGTCCCAGAAGCCTTGCAGCACAAGCCTATAGGTGTCTGGGACTTACAATCAGGTAAGCTCATACAGAATTGCCACCTTAACTATTCATCACATAGTTACATGGGTTTGTTGTGACTGACTGGTGTTTATTAAAAGGCGCTCTGCACATGCTCGGTGGCACTCATTACTTTGCATATTCTAAGGATACTCCAGGGAACTGAAAGCAAATACAGTATTAGCAACAAGCTCTAGCTCAAGTCAAGTCCTGGTGTCTCGGGGAGGGGTATAAGAAAGAGAAGTTATTTAATTAACCTAATTCAGTGCTGTTTTATTTATATTAAATGTAGACTTCAGTATCCTTTCTAAATAATGTTAAATATTGTCTAGGCTTTTGTCTTCTATTTATTTTATTGTATACAGCTCATTCCCCCCATATATAGATGTATTTTTGTTTGTGGTTTAAATTTTTATTTATAGTGGGGGGTTAGAGAAGATGGAGGCCCCTCTCCCTCATTAGAAACTAACTGAAACCAGCCCTGCACTTCTGGGACAAGAAGAGCCCCAGAACAGAGGTGTATATGTGACCTGCAGGTAGTCTCTTCTCAAGCCCAGAAAGCGCTCATGTTAGGCACCGACATGGAACAGTGATATATAAATGTGTTTAAAAAAAAAGCTAATTTAGAAAGAGAAGCACTTTACTTCACCTGTTATTACACTTTGGCTGCACAGGAAAACACTTCCATGTTGGAAGCAAGTCTCTCACCTGTGTCATATATAAATCACCTGCAAATAATCAAACGGGTCTACACTCGCATAACCAATACACACGATCTGCCCGCTTCCCCGCCACCACTTCAGACGTCCCACCCCTGTGATGTGTGAAGAGGAACCAAACCCCTGCTAGAAGGAGCTTGCTCGTTCCCGGCAGAGATTCACCACCAACAAATCTAAGCATGGAGACTCTGGGAATATGGAGCGTAAAGATCGTGGCGGAGAAGGTGGTACAAAGTTTCTCACCGGAGTCTTTCAAGCTGTGAAACCAAGTTGGGTCAAGATGGTCTGCTTTGCAAAGGACCGTCCCCACTTCAGGCGTCGTGGAGACACACCTGGCTCTTTGATTCTCCCGGGCAGATCCTCGATTCCCCCTTACAATCTTCCTCTTTTAGGGCATCTGGCCTCGCACGTGCTCCCTCCAACCAACCAAGCCCAGCCCAGCCTGCCCCTCTCCCTTCTCCCCCTTACCTGGTAAACAAGACCAAGCCGTGCTCGATGGGGCTGCTGTTCACTTTCTCCCAGCTCTCTCGGATCAGCTTCTGGTCCGCGCTGGAAAGTCCGTCGCTCTCCATTTTCCCGGAGAGGCGCAACTGGAGGAGCAGCGCCGCTTGGAGAGCAGGAGACGCAGCCGCCGCCGCCGCCGCCCCCCCCCCTCCCGGACGCGCGGCGAGGCAGGCTGTGCGCTCCGAGCAACAGGTGGCGGCCCGGATCCCGCGGCGATCCCAGGCTCGATCCGCTCGCGAGGCACTTCAGATCCCCCTTGCGCTCGAGACTTGCGCTCCCATGGCGGGATCGGTTGCGCCAGGCAGAAGCGCCAAGTCCGCGCCTTGGCTCCTTACTCCTTAGGGCGCCGCGTGGTTGGCTTGAGGAAGATCCCCTCGCCTGGCCTGAAGAGGACTCCGAGTGCCCCAGGGGGACGCCATACCGTTGCTCGCAGCAGCCGCAAAGAGGGTGAGATCCTGCCTTCCTCAATCCCGGGTCTGATCTCCTAGGGCCAACTCTGGCCTCGCCGCCTCCTCCTCGCCGCGGCAGCACCTTCCCAGCTCCCAGCAGGAAGATCAAGGCAAGAGGAGCTCTTAAAGGGGCAGCGCCCAACTCAGGCTCCGACCTTGCCAGCCTCCCACCTTTAAGTCTAGGGAATCCAGCTTTCCCCCAGCCTCCACTCTGTGGTTTTAACAAGTCCGAAACACGTAAGTGAAGCTTTCTGCATCCCTGCCAAGAGAAGGCTCGAAGTCCTTCAGGAGTCTAAAGGGCATGTTCACAAGTTCAGCTTCCACTGGTGCAAGCATCCTAGTGTTTTGATGCATCCCGCTACTGTATTTTTGAATCAAGACTGCAGTCCAGCCATGTTTACTCACAAGTATGTGGATAGGACAGCACTTCTCAGGCACGCATATTTCCGCACGGTGACAAACTACCCAGTATGTTGTGATCAATAAACTTTTATCTCTCTCCTCCCGTCAAAAAGGTCTTGAAATATTGCAGAAATATCTCCTTCCAATATTTTGGACAGAAAGATTTTGATATGCAAGTTGAAGAACTCCACATGAAAAAGATGTCATCAAAACCTTGAACACTGATCACACTTCAAAGCTGAACCTGATCCCCAAAAATCAAATTATTCTATGGATGTATGTAACCACAGCTGCCCAAATTCTGGTAGCACAAAAGTGGAGGACAAAGTACCATCTTGAGAAGGATGGCACCTTAAAATATTAGAATATATAGAACTTGCCAGCATGACAAATAGATTAAGAAATAAATATGATAATTTAAAAGAGGACTGGATATTAAATATAGATTATATGGGGAAATATTACAACAAGAAAATAACTGGCTGGAAAAAACAGGCTGACAAAAGTACGCAGCAGTAGAGGTTACAACGTGGGATAATATAATGAAAACAACTGAGTAGAGTCAGAAAACACAGTTGAAAAGATAGTTGTTAAGAAACCAAGCAAAGAGTAGAAGGGGAGTAAAAGTGAAGGTTTATGAGAGTCAAATAAATTGGAGGAATACTGTTGCTACCCAGCAACCAGTATTGCCTCAGCACCTCTGAACACTAAAGCTTTTTTTTTTAAAAAAAAATTCCCCTTCCAATGGCTAAAGAAAATCTTTTTGTCCCCGTAATCCATACATAATTATAAGGTGCTTGAGCAACAGGTCTTGCTACAAGTTTCTGGGAAATGAATGTGTGAGGAACAGCCTTTGCCAGCTTAGTCCCTTCAGCTGTTTCAGACCAAAGTCCCATCACCCTGTCAGCAAAATTGTAACCTGGAAAATATGGACTCTACGATCATGTGAGGCTCTTCTTTGTGTGCTTCCTTCACGAGAGGATCGGACGGTAGCAACATGAGAACAGGCCTTTTCTGCGATGGCTCCCCCTTTGTGGAATGCTCTCCCCAGGGAGGTTCGCCTGGCGCCCTCATTATACATCTTTAGATGCCAAGTGAAAACATTCTTCTTCAACCAGGCCTTTAACTGTGCAATATTCTACAGCTTTTTGATTATTATTTTTTTTGGGGGGGGTTATTGCTTTGTTTTTGTTCTATTTATTTGTGCTTTTATCTTGTATTTTTATTTTGTGAACTACTCAGATCTTCGGGTAAGGGGAAGTATATAAATTAAATAAATAAATCATTTTACAAAGGGATTTAGGCTAAACGTCAGCAAGAACCTCCATCCTGATGGTATGAGCTGTTCAATAGTAGAGCAGGCTGGCATGGAAGGTAGCAGTCTCTCCTTCGTTAGGGGTTTTTATGCAGAGGCTGGATGGCCACCTAACTGCAATGCTGTAGGCAGCAGATTTCCTGAATCAGGAGGGATGGGACTAGTTCAACTTTATGATTCTGTGCAGTGCTTTTTTTCTGGGAGGATGCAGGGGTACGCATACCGTGAAACAGTTTGTGAATCTAACAGGAGAAGAAAGAAGTAAAAAAAAAAAATTAGTTTCTTCTCTAGCACCGTGAATCATCAGTTCTGCTGCTACCCCAATGGCGGCATCATTTTCTGTCACGGTGTTTCCTGAGTCTCAGACAGAAGCGAGCGTTTAATGTGTGAAGTAGGAATTGGAATCCAGCACAGTGATAGGTCAGTTTCGTTGTTACCATCTCCAGTGGTGGCTTCATTTCCTTTCCCGGTGATTTTCTTGAGTCAAAATGAGACTACTCCTAAACATTTTTTTTCGGGGGGAAAGCACTGATTCTATGCACTGACCTGTATATAGTGTTGCAGCATAGCCTAGCAGCAGTAGGACAAACGGCTCCAATGTTTGGGGGCTAAAGAGAACAGTTTGTGCAGCCTGAATTTGGCCATAGCCAGGGCATTGTTTCCTTCAAAGGAGAGGAATGCTGCATTGGAAAAATGGGGAAACACAACGAAGGTGATTCGGAATACATTATGCATCTTATCTACTTTCCAGTTGGTTTACAGAAACCAGGGGTATAAAACAAATAGTACCATCTCATGCTAGGCAGGAGTTCTCTTTGCTGTTGGCTAAAGAATTCTTTTTTAAAAAAAATAATTGCAAGTAGCTTTAACTGGAGAAAAATGCAACACATAAGTGAAGTGCCTAGCAACAGAACAAAGGCTTGAAACCAGTTCGCCCAGTACCCAGACTGCTTTTCCAAAGTATTAGACAATGCTTTTTTCAGTGTTGTCCACTCCCTCCAATATTTTCAACATAACATTTAAAGCTAAAGTGTCCTCAGGCTGCCGATCACTGTTAGCCAGGCTCTTACAGCTAATCCTCTGGATGCACGAACAGGACTTCAAACCTTCAAATTACTTAGCCTTGAGTACTACTGAATCGATCGCAAGAATGCCAGGCAAGCCACATGATCCAAACTGTTGTCCATTTAGTGTTCAAGGCAAATAAATAATGCACCATATTTTTTGCTCTATAAGATGCACCAGACCATAAGACGCACCTAGTTTTTGGAGGAGGAAAACAAGAAAAAAATTATTCTGAATCTCAGAAGCCAGAACAACAAGAGGGATCGCTGTGCAGTGAAAGCAGCAATCCCTCTTGCTGTTCTGGCTTCTGGGATAGCTGCGCAGCCTGCATTCGCTCCATAAGATGCACACACATTTCCCCTTACTTTTTAGGAGGGAAAAGGTGAGTCTTATAGAGCAAAAAATACGGTATTTTGTGTAGTACTTCTGAACAAAGTAAATCTTTTTTTAAATGCTTTTGCTGCTGGAATGAGAAGAGAAAAGCCCCCTCCTTTTGTGCAACCCCCTCCTTGCACACAGATCATCCCCAATATAACCTCTTGCATCTTCCTTCTTCCACACATTGCAACTACCAGGCACCTTCCACCCAATTAGGAAGCCACCATCTCCAATCCTGCAGCCCATTCTGCACCCTTCCTTTCATCTTTACTTTCTGCCTTTTCTCTTTTTTGCATCCCCCCCTTCTTTGGACCCACGTTCACGCCACCCCCTTTCCCTTCCCCTCCCCCTTCCTTTTTTGAGATTCCCCTTTGCGCACAGACCAGTCACATTTCTGCGCCTCCTTTCCTCTCCTGTTCTGCAGTCCCCTTTGCACACCCACCCACTCCATGACAATAGATGTTTAAGATGAACAGACTCTTCAGTGCAAGCCTGTCAGTTGGCTTGTTCAGTGACAGTAAAGTTCAGTTGATGGATGTTGTACATATGTGGGTGGTGGTCTGCTTGTTCATAAAATATCCACTCTAAATTAAAACACTGAATCTAGAACTTCATATTGAAGTAAACACCAGGAGTGAAATGCATTCTGTGAGGGTACTATGGAACATTTGAGGTTCTGCATCCTTCATCTCTCTCATATGAGGTAGCTGAAGAATAATAATGATGATGATTACTATTATTTTATTATTTATACCTACCCATGGGACGCGGGTGGAGCTGTGGGGACGCGGGGGACGCTGTGGTCTAAACCACAGAGCCTAGGGCTTGTCGATCAGAAGGTCGGTGGTTTGAATCCCCGCGACAGGATGAGCTCCCATTGCTCGGTCCCAGCTCCTGCCAACCTAGCAGTTCGAAAGCACGTCAAAGTGCAAGGAGATCAATAGGTACCGCTCCGGCGGGAAGGTAAATGGCTTTTCCATGCACTGCTCTGGTTCGCCAGAAGTGACTTAGTCATGCTGGCCACATGACCCGGAAGCTGTACGCCGGCTCCCTCGGCCAGTAAAGCGAGATGAGCACCGCAACCCCAGAGTCATCCGCGACTGGACCTAATGATCAGGGGTCCCTTTACCTTTACCCACCCACCTGGAATGGAAGCAGGAGAAATTTGAGTACAGCAAGGAGGAGGGGGCACAGACACATTCCCCTTTATTTCGCCCAATGCCCCTCTTGCTCCTTCATGGCAGTGCAAATGCCCCCTTCAACACCACCAACTTCCACCTGCCTCCACCCCAATTCCACACCATCTCCAGATTCCCCCACCCCCATTCCTAGAGTCCTAAAAGTGTCCTACCCAGCAGCGGAGCATATGCCTGTGCTGCCCAGGGTGGGCATACTCCTGAGGGGCGCGGGGGCACTCCCGAGGGGGGCAGCGCATGGAGGGTGCCCCCCCAGGCACAGGATAGCCACTCGGGTGCACAGAGTGGCGTACGTACCCTGCAGCCAGGGGCGGAGCAAACCGTTAATGGGGGCGGAGCAAGCCGCCGATGGCGGACATTCGGTACACTGCCTGTCCAAGCCTCCCCCAGCTGTCAAAACAAAGGGGGAAGGGGGGATGCCGCCGGCAAAGTGGCGCGGCTCCCCCTTCCCCCGACAGCTTGAGAGTTGCAGGCGGGTGGTGCGCCAAATGTCACCCCCCTCAGCTATGACACCTGGGGTGGACCACCCCCACCTTCCTCCGCCTCTGGCCCTTTCCTTGGCTTTTTTCTGGCCCACATAAGATCACTGGATAGTTAGCCTTGGTGAAGACTTGACGTTTTCATCCCCAAAAAAGTTTTTGAGTTTCTGCTGAAATGAGGCTGCATTTTAATGTTGTATTTTAATCTTGTTTTTAAAGTTGTATTTCAATCGTTTTATATCTGGTGTTAGCCGCCCTGAACCTGGTCTTGGCTGAGGAGGGCGGGGTATAAATAAAATTTATTATTATTATTATTATTATTATTATTATTATTATTATTACCTTCTACACTATCTTCTA